TGTTTATTCATAAATATACTCTAAACAAAATACACTGATTCAAGTTTTTATAGGATATATCTGATGGAGAGATCAGTAAAGAAAAGGAATGAATGCTTGATTATATAAAAATCCCTGCACGAAAGACAAGGATATTAATTTCGACGGTCTTTGTAAATGAGGAATATCTCCGTCATTATCAATACTGTGATTAATTTTATCCCAGTCAAATTAAAATGGGCTCTGAATATTCATTGATATATATGCTAAAGAAATATCGTTCCATACGACATATAAAAAAAAAAAGGGCATTTAAGACAACCAATAGTTGAACTGTTCAAGTAACCTCTATTAAAAACGTTATTAAAAGCGCTTTTCCGCATTCCTCTTTTATCCAAGTGAAGTGAGCAAAGAATACTTTTGATTACAAAAGAAAATTAACATTATCAGATTTCCGGTTTCTGTACAGACGTGCCGCCTCAATATATTGATAAACCGACAATTAAAATCACGTTCCATTAAAACAGCCCACTTGGCTGGGTTAGCTTGCTTTTGGTGGACGTGATTTCTCCTCCAGAGCTACGTGATACAAGTCACTCCAGTTATGTGACTCTCTTGGTTGAACATAATTCTGAAATGCCAGCGGAATACAACTTTTGACGAGAAAATCTTCTGGATAACCCTCTCCACTTATGTCCAGAAATTTACGCAGTAACGAAAATGGCAGATATGACGAAAGTTCATCAAACCGAAAGAATGTCCATGGATTTGACAATTTTGGCGAATTTTAGTCAAATTTGTCCAAACGAAATCAACTCGGCGGGATTGACGATTTTGAAGAATTTTAGTCCAATTCGTCAAAGCAAAATCAGCTTTGCGGGTTTGACGATTTTATCGAATTTTTGTCATTCTCGGTACTGCATGCATTTCTGGACATATCTCGTTCCCAGGGCCTCTGCAACAAAGGGACCAAGGACACTGGGAACGATATTTCTAGCTTATGCGATAGCCGTATGTCCGCTGGTTGTTTCTCTTCGAAAAGAAAGCCTTCGTCAACCGGAAGTAAGTCTGTCACCCAGGCTAAGTTTCTTTCAGCCTTCAGCAAGGAGTTTGCTCGCTTAAGAAAACAAACCATACACACTGGTTCGTTTAACGAAGGTTAAAGCCTGTGCTCCGAAACGCGCTGGAGGTTTACGTTTAAGTGCTGTATCTTGAAACGCCGACTTCACCTCCTTGCATGACTAGTCACGCCATTCGATTATTTCAGTTAATCAAGAACGTCCTCACTTATTTAAACCAGCCGCAGACGTATAAAACAGACCAATAAGACGTCGGTCTTCTGTTCAGCTCTTAGCCCAGTATCACAGGTGACTCGAAAACTAAGACATCCGAGTCTTTAAAAATTTGTTTTAAAGTTTAAGCCCTTCACACCCTTGCATCAGTATGCAATTTCCCCATACTGTTCTCTACAAATTTCCTAAGGTGCTAGCAAGGAGAGTTTGTTTGTCGATGAAGAGCGTCTGTTGTTGGTAATAATTTCCTCTAATCTGGCCACCTTAATGCGTGCTTTAGGGGTGATAATGTAAAGAGAAATTAGATGCTAGTCACCTTTAAGGGTTAAATTCGAGTCACGCACTTGGCTCTAAGTGCCCACTTGTCATGCATGATTGAGTTTAAATGTATATGGAAATAATAGGCAGTCTATGACTCTTTGTGCCATTGTGTTGTGGTTGTAGAAGTTTCAAGGAACAATTTGGTGGTGTTTAAGGGGAAAATTTTATCTACCGGGCATTTAGTCCATTCAAGACCGTTCCAGGCAGTCTAATGAGGCGCCATATCTGTCATCGGTGTAGAGAATTACATCAACGTTTGCGGTCGGTAGGTGTCTATGCGGTTACTTAAACCTGTTGATTATAAGTTAAAGGTTCACCTAATAATTAATACTGCATCTATGCTCGAATTTCAATTACGAAAACACAAGAAATCTGGCATTGAAATCACTTGGCGCGATCTTATTATGGAGGCTGAAGTCTTTGATCGATCGGCAGAGCTTTTAATAGTTACGGGATCCAATCTCGACCCCAAAAAGTACTAGTATGTGCTAACAAAAAGTTAATGTGTAATCAGGTCGAAAGCTTTAGCAAAGAACGAATTGTTTCGTTGATTCCGCGATGACTACAATACGTTCTGTCCCACCAGCAGGTCTCAAGCGCGCCATCAAAGGCTGTTCGTTCAAACGGACTAATTAGACAGGGAGAAATCCAGCAGATGGATTCGCGAGGTCTCAAAGCATAATCTTGTTGTTGATGAGGTAAATCAAATCGCCCTCGACCGTACACTTTAGGCGGGAAATGCCTCCAGTCTAAATATCATGGGAAATTGCAATGATGTCAGTCAAGAATAGCCGAGCTTGACAAAGACATTCGGGAACTAGTAAAATTAATTAAAAGTAATTTAAAATACCTGAGGGTTATTTTTAATCTCTTCTGTACCCTCTTGGGTAGTGTATACCCGAGGGTTATTTTTAATCACTTCTATACCCTCTTGGGTAGTCTATACCTGAGGGTTACTTTTAATCTCTTCTATAACCTCTTGGGTAGTGTATACCTGAGGGTTATTTTTAATCTCTTCTATACCCTCTTGGGTAGTGTATACCTGAGGGTTATTTTAAGGGGGCCCTCTGGTTGAAATTTGGTAAAATTGAAAAATTTTTCGCCCAAATTTTTTTTTGGAAAAATATTTACTTGACTCTATCTAGATTTTGAATATGTTGCTTGTTTTTACATAAATTACTTTGCAGAGTCAAAAAGTGGCCTTCTTTGAACGTTGTTTTTCCGTTGCCATGGTAACCAATTCAAAACAAGAGCCTTTTTCCCGAATTATTTTTGAGGCGTTAACGCTGTTCCACGGTCCTGAGTTTGGAAACAGACCGTAGTTCATTCCAGATTCCTAGAAGTTACTTTTGAGGCCTGGTTACTGAGTTACAAGGAGCTCTAACGAATTTTGTCCAAGTCACTTTTGTTGATCTATGCGTAGCATTTCACAGTTTATTGATTCAGTTTATAAAGGGTTAAATTATGCCGAAGCTAGGGAAAAAGCAGTCTGTTTTAAAGCAGGGAATTTCAAGAAAGCGTAAAGGGTTCAAAGGAGTTCAAAAACAAGCGAAAAGAGCGGCAAGCGCAACGAGCGAACGAAGGGTAAATATCACGTTCGTCGGTGAAGATGACGTGGTAAGCGAAATGATTCCACCGCCTGCAATCCCGGTTTCTGCGCGAAAAATCGGCGCTTGTGCTATTGATACGTCTCTGTGGGATGAAAGTATTCCAGATGATCTGGAAATTGCTGAAGGATATCGCCTGGTATCAATGGAAAGTCTAAGGAAGTTTGTAAACAGAGTACATACACATGGACCATGTGCCTCAGGTGAGCCTGTTGAAATTTTTGCACAGTGTCACTTATTATGCCGGAAAATTTGAAACCAAGTCCATGATCCACTAATTTATCTGGATTTAAACTAGAAAATTAATAGATCGTTTCCTCTAATTTCTCATTTAGGTAAAGTTGAAGTGTTAGAGAGCACTGTAAACAGAATGGGAATAAGCAATTCAGTCTTTGTCAAATGTGACTGTGGCATGACAGAGTTCCTTGCTACTGGTGATCACCCCTCCAATGATACCACTCCAAGGACAATTCAAGGTAAAGATCTGAACCGACGAATAGTGTATGGCACATTTGAGATGGGAGTTGGAAAAGAGGGAATTGCCAAGCTGTGTGAAATGCTTAATATGCCATTTAGTATTTCGCTCTCAACTTGGTATGAGCACGAAGAGGCACTACTCAAGGCTCACTACTCTCAGAGAAGAGAGTGCAAGATCAGCACAAGAAATACAGAGTTGCCAGGAGACAGGCTAAACAGCATAATGAAGATCTAAGGATTCGTGGCGAGGGTGTAACTTATGCAGCTGGAGCTTTTGGAGAAATAGAACCTTGTAATGGACCCAAAAGAGGAAAACTACTCAGAAGACCAAAAAAATAACTTTAGGGATATTTCTTTTTAAAGCAGTTCTACCAACACACTGTGTTTTTATTGTAAAAGCTAACTTGAACCCATGTTTCCATAACATTTCCTTTTAAATCACATTTCCTGCAAATATGGGTTTTTCATGATTATTTGGGTGCCCCCTTAAATTTCTCAGGATGTATTTGTGCTAACAGCTCCGAATTTGCCACAAATATTTGAGACATAACATACTACAAACCTATTGAGCAAAATTCAGTTTGACTGAAAAGTGTTGAAGTTTTGAGGAGTTAATCTTTTCTTGGAATGAATTCGTTGCCATGGCAACATTAATGATTGAAACCCGATTTTGCTCTATAGGTTTGTAGTGCTTTGTAAGTAGATCCATGATGCTTAAAACCAGCCCAATTGGATGTATTTTGAGCTTTGAATTTGAGGGGGCAGAAGAATAGTTTAAAATGATAGAGTTTTTGTTTTTGTTTATTATTTACTAGGAATAAACAAACCTGGTCAACTTTACTTGTTGGCTGGTAGGTAGGGTCATGTACTTGCCTCCTGCCAATTTTCAGCAGTTTACTATTAATGATTATGATTCTGTGACTGTTCTAGTTATGACCTTCTTTACTGTTGGATTTCAACCAGAGGGCCCCCTTAAATCTCCTGCATACCCTCTTGGGTAGTGTATACCTGAGGGTTACTTTTAATCTCTTCTATAACCTCTTGGGTAGTGTATACCTGAGGGTTATTTTAAATCTCCTGCATACCCTCTTGGGTAGTGTATACCTGAGGGTTACTTTTAAATTGAATGCACATTGAATGTGAAGCCAGCTAATTTGCATACTTTTTTTTTTCCGACGCAAAGCTCGTCATGCAATAAAAGATGCACTGCAGAAGGTGAGATATTTGTTATTGAGAATTTGACTGTACTTTTACAACTTTCATCTCATACATTTGCTGGTAGGGTTTTTGCCTGTTCAGCCAAAAACGCTTTCGAAATTTTTAATCATGGCTTAAACATCAAGAAAAATTCTGCAGAATCTTTCAACCGGTTACTTAGACTGGAATGAACGCCGATATGCGAGACCATGTTGGGAACTACTAAATACCTCTCCAAATTCGATCTGTCTGCGAAGTCATCGATCGCAAAATCCAATGGATATTTTTCACTGCATTGAACCGAATTTAGAAAATTGGCAAGGTCACGTGCGTGAGATCTATTATATAGCACGCCTGGTGTACAACATCGAGCCGCTTGGACAACAGAAAACAAGAATGGCGATAGCTTTCTTAATTCTATCCAGTGAGCTCTGCCAACAGTATAACTTAGTAACATAGCATAGACTGCCCATAAAGTGAATATTAAAGAGATAGAATGTTTCCTTCGCCTTTCTATTTTTAATTGTATCCAAACAGCTAAACATCCTCCCAATAAACCGACCAGTAGAAGTTCTGGTACCTGCGGCCAGCCGAAACCCTGCCATTTCTCAGGGTAGTAGAGTTTCAGAAAAGCCCAATCGCGGCGACTTTTCAAAAGTCTTCCAGGCATCCGATGATTCAAAACGAAGCGTAGGTTGTTAAGCAGATTATTAGATGGCAGTGCATCGTCCTCAAGGATTAAAATGTACGTTGAATTGTGTTTCAAAGCTGTTTCTAAACCCATAATGTAATCTTCTTTCTCCCTTGATCTCGAGGCGGCGTTTCCGTAGGCCGAACCATTGATCACGTTCACAAAATGTGAAAGATAGGCTACATCTTCATTCAGTTGTGGATCAAAATTTAACACGGTGAAAACAGTTTTTCCTTCATCATTAATTACCTGAGGAAGCAAACGAGCGGCGACTTGTAGCGGATAATGTGTGTTTGAACCGCGATAAGCTGTTAACAAAACAGTCGAAAATTCAATTTGACTATCGTGAGTGTAATCGACTTTACCATCAAAATTTCGAAAGAAGTTTCTCGCGTTCATAATTCGCTCTTCATTTTGTGCTTCTAGAAATTCATACGCTTCCGTTGGACTCCTGAAATACGACGAGAAACCAAGCTTGTGGCACATCAAAGGCAGTGCGAAGAGAAACGTTGTTATATACACAACCGCAGTAGCAGTCATCAAGTTTCGTTGAAGGAACATTTCATCTCCACTGTATCCAAAAAGCGTTTCCCAAACCCCTAAAACAAGCGCATGGCATGGTATTGTCGAAGAACAAGTTATAGCAATCGAAGAATAACCAGCCACTTCCGAATCACTTCATTAGCATGTACAGCGTACTCGAAATTATTACGGGTGTAATGACTTAAAGGTGCGTTAAAGAACGTCACACAACGCTGCTTAGAGGTCACGAGTTTTTACTAAAATCATCTGTAGTTACTTAAAGACACGAGAAAATTTAAATGATCAGAAGGGTATCACCTTATCTGAATTTCCTTTTTTCGTGCGGGATTTTGGTTCAGGGCCCATATCGCTACAAAGAACCCTTAGAATGATTAACTCTTAAAAAAAAGAACATGAACAGCCAGCCTACGAAGTTCTGTAACGTCCTTGAGATGTGTCACGCAATGATGTTTCCACTGTGTATGCTTAAGCAAGTCTTTACCTTTTTCCATAATCATGCCAGAGAGCACATTATCAATATTGTAAAGGCCATAATTTACCCATCAGTTTAAATAAGGCAGCGGACTAAGGGAAGGTACGTTTTTACTGAATTTTTTAATGAGGATATTTGTGATGTCGCTTTCCATTTTTGTTACAGATTAAGTTTTTCTTTTCACCTAATTTGATTTAATTTGATGTTTTATGATAGGTTCTAGGTTACATTTCTACATGTATATTACGCCATGGTACATAGTTTTCTCTGAGGATACGTGCCCTTTTCTGTCTGTACTGAGACATTAACTAGACTCAGGTATTGTTTCTTCAGCTTCTTGTTCCTGTTGACTATCTGCTGCTTATCTTTTCTCATTTCAATGTCAGTTTGATGCTCAATTTAATCTGCAACAACCTTTCCTGAAACGATATATTTTTCAGAAAACTCTTTGATTGCCTTATTGTCCCTGCTTTGAGCTTACCCTCTTGAAACATCTGTTTTATTTGAGCTCCAGGCTGATAATCTTCAGATTTGCGGCCACTCATAGGTGTTTTCCTACTTGGCAGGTAGTGAAAGTCGGGAAGTTTGCTGTAACTGGGATAGGGTTGTGAAGTTGGTGTAGCTGGAGAAGGACTTACAAAGTCTCAAAGTTTAAACCTCCATAATAAAACTTCAGCTATAAAACATAAATATCCCACACTAATTGTTTGCATTCTCTTGTTTCAGCTTGCACACAGTTAATTTTGAGATATGTTTATATATTCAAACATTTTGCATTCACAAGAAAAATGTTCTGAGGTCTCTTTCACATGGAACATACCATGTAGTAGTGAGGGGAGGGTTGCACTTTTGTCAGTCACCTAAAGGTGGGGGGTCAGGAGTTTTTTATTAAAACACAAGGGAAGGCCAACCCTTTTTTTGGGAAAAAATACCAAAATTTCCTAGCCCCCTCCCCCCAAGACTTGACAAGATTGGGATGAAAAAGTTCATTGCGGCAAGATGGAATGAAAAATAGCAGCAGGATGTGGGATTTGAAAAGTCTATTTAGGACCCTCTATCAAGTGATCACCCTTGGGGAATGGTGGAGTGATAGCTATTAAAAGACAGGTTCACCAGCAAATGACTTGCATGATATGTGTCTCAACAATCCAAAGAAGAAAGATATTCTGTAATGTATTCACAACATTTGAACTCTAAGTACTTACATTGATTCCAAAAATTCCCAATGGGTATTTGAACCTTGCCTGGCTGGAATGGGAAATTTGAAGTGGAAGTGTCCCTGGGTCTTTCCAGCAGAATACAAGTATTATATCTTTAAATATCGAGGTGATTAGAGGTACCAGTTTATAAATGGTTTTAGCCTGGAAATAGCTCAGAAGAAATGTCTACAAGGTCTAGGTTTTAAAGACTGGTCAATGTGCAGAAAGTCATTATCCCTGACTTAACCTTTAACAAAAAAAATTGGGTGTGGGTCTTAAGACAGTCTTTGCCCTGGAAGGCAGGAATTAGAACAAACCTGAGTCTTCGAAGGTTCAAATGCCCATTAGGTTGGGGGAGGTGAGGGATGTTGAAGCTTCACATTCAAATTGAATGATGCATCAGCTGTGAGAGTGAATAGCACAATGCTGACACTTCACAAGAAAACAGAAATTTAAAAAAAGATAAGTTGCACCTTACCTTTATACACAAAAAAGTGTCCAGAAATTGTTTTAATAACAAGCCAAGAACTGAACTGTAACAGCAAAACTTATCACAAATATACAATAAGTACTTCCATATGCATGCAGTTATCTAATTGAGCCAGCTGAAGGAACAAATATAAGACAATTCTCGGAATAATATTTATAACTGTATCCCATGTGACTCTTATATAATCACACATCTGCACTGAGTTCTGAGTAAATGATTCATATCAAATTATGATGAGATAAAGAGCACTAACTTTCAGGATCACAGCTTCTCAGGTTTTTGTTTTCAGGACACCTATCCATTATCCCTTGATCTATGATCATTTCATTGACAAGATGATGCTCTTATTGCAAAGGTTCCAAGGACAAAATCTTCAAATCCCAACAGATCAGCTGTTTGAATTGTCTAATACAGAAACAGGTGCAAGTATTCTGTTCTTATTTGTCTCCAATATCTCTCCATTCATGATCATTTCATCCAAGATCATGTGTACTTTATCCAGGTTGAACATAATCTAAAGATTTAAGGTACAATCAAGGAAAAGGCAAAGAAGAGTCTTGGCTGGAGACAAAGGAGTTCATTAGTACCTTGCTTGTGTGTTTAGAACAGATAATAATGATACTGATGATAATGATGGTGACCGTGTTTATCATGATCAATGTTTCATCCTGAGAGGATCAAACATCCATCATGATTATTAATCACACATATTATAAGTCATGTGATCAATAATTGGCCTATCACAACATACAGTATTAGGAGCAAGGGAAACTAAGGAAATCAAGGGTGTATAACAATTATTAATAGTGAATAATAATTGTAATAATTATTAATATTGAATATGCATTTTGGATTAGTTTTATTAGATATTTCAATATGATATACCAGCCACTGGGTATATTTGTCTTCTTTACATAGAAATAAATGCTAGTGATTAGCATTTAATTTCTCCCTACACTCCTAAACCACACCCCTTAAGGTCACGAGAATAACAGAAGTGATCACTGACTGAAGGAGCTCTTGATTGTTAAACAAATTCTCCTTGTCAGCACCTTACAAGATGTAGAGAGAGCAGTATGGAAAATAGATATGCATGCTAATGTCCGGGTGCAAAGGGTTAAAAACACTAATAACAAGGATACATCCAATTCACACTGAAAATAAACAAAGAGAGAGATTCATGTTACTTCTTTAACCCTTAAACTCCTAGAAGTGATTAACATCTAACTTCTCCCTATAATATCTTTACATTATCCAGCAAACGGGTGATGAGAATACCCAAACTTATCAGGTAGAAGTTGTTATCTTGATCTTACACCAAATTCTCATACCTGATTTACAAGGATATATGTAGCAGCTAGAGGGGAGAATTAACAATCAGATCTTGGGAGTTTAAGGGTTAAGTAAATAAAGGGGATAAGTTTCTAAATATACTGCAGTACTGTATTGGCAAGGGGTATAACAAGAAAACATAGTTTTATCAATTGACCTGATAATAAAAGAGATGTAAATTGGCCACCATAAAGAGTATCTAAAGGATGTTTCAGGCATTGGCCCTTCGAGAGTTAGGGAGTTACAGTTGTTTGGAGTGTTTGTCCTTTGCTCTCACAAGGGGCTAATGCTTGAAACATCAGCTTATGAAACTCTCTACAGTGGCCAATTTACATTATCAACTCAGTTCATAAAGACTTGATTATCCAATGTATTAAGTTATACACTTCACTTAATTTTAAGAAGTGTGGACCAAAGATTTCCTGTATCATCGGTGCTGTTTTAATAAGATCACAGTTTTGTACTTTGTCATTGTTGCTATGTCCTTTAAAATAAAAAACGTTCACTAGAAGGGAAAACTTCAACCCTTTCACTCCCAAGATCTCATTAGTAATTCTCCTTACTGTCTGCCATACAGTTCTGGTGATGTTAGTTTGGAGAATTTGGTATTGGATCAACTTATATTCCCTAAATTTCTATTTTCCTTTATTCTCATCACTTGTCTGCTTGATATTGTATTGATATTGTGAGGAGAAATTGTGCCTTGGTCACTCATGGAAGTTAAAGGGTTAAACTGCTAAAATAAAAGTATCTTGAAACTCACCACATTAGAAAAATACCGATCCAAAGTCTCTACAAAGTTATGAATGAACTCGAGTATTGACAATTCATTCTGCAAAGAGAAATTTGGTTCAAATGTTATCTCCTAGAGTCTGAATTGAAAATTAAATAAGTTCACCCTAGAAGTAAGAAAGCTTTATAGCTAATACCTTACGAAACAAAAAACAGGTGACACAAGCAAAGGTTATTTGGGGTGAATCAGTAAAAATCAACCACAAAAAGAACATTACTTCGGTTTATGTATGGAGACCCCAACTTTGCAAAAGCTTTAGTATTTTGTGTTCACACAGTGTGATTGGACTGATTGGTGAGAGGTTTAATTCTTACACTTGAAGTGCCTTATCATTTTTGTACTATCAGAACTTATATATTTGGTTAGCATATGCAGGGAGGGAATTTCAAAGTGAATTCAAAATAAAAATCAATAATTACAGCTAGGTTACAATTAGCATGGTCACTTAATTGCATATATCAGTAAAAATTCTAAATATTGAACTAAGGTTAAATGTGAATAAAGAAACCTACCTCATCTGAATCAACACCAACTATGAAGAGTAGTGAGGCATATCTCCTGTAGACAACCTTGAAATTCTTGAATTCCATAAAAGGACACTGTTGAGGAAAATAAGGATTCAAATTTTACCTGACCGCTGATCATCAGTTATCACCCGATAAAACGAAGCAAAATAAAAGTTTGATCAGAAAAAAATTGAAACCAAGGGTATGTCAAATATATTCAAATAAATACTCATACTCGTGAGTACAGAGAGTATTAAAAATATTTTTTCCTGAGTTTCTTAAGAGAAGATGCTTTTTTAACCTGGTCGTCACTCCTTGCCAAACATTTTCGCGTTATCTCAGCTTCCATATTCGTTCTTTCTTCCAGATCCAAGTGTTCGTAGTATTGTGAAACGCGTGTATGTCCTTGCTTATTAACAAGAAGTAGAAATTTCAACATTGCAGTAAACTTTCACCATGTAACAATTTAATGAAACAGAAATCCAGACTTCTTCTTCCCTTTGCCATCAGAATAATGCCAGGCGTTCCTTTAGACCATTCACATGAAGTCGAGGCTTCAAAACAATCAAGATGGCGAAAAATTCAGACGTGGGTGAAAATGAAAGCGTCAAAGACTTCTTCACCACAAACCGCAACGATTTATACAGCTACACAGAGTGCAGAGATATAGGGAAAAAGTTTTTGAGTGACTTGAAACAAGCCGTAATAGGGGAGAATTTACAAGAAATCGAGGAGCCTCGCGCAAAAGCTACGAAATACCTCGAAGAGACAGAAATTTTACAACTCATAGAGGTAATCGAGAAAACCAATGATTTATACTTACAGAGTCTAACATATACTTTCTGTTATGTAAGATCCCTTAAAACCAAACTTACCTGTAACTATCCCAAACGTGTGGTGCTGGTGTACAGAAAAATGGTCAGAGCTGTCAGCAAAATTGACATTTGTCTAATCTCAGCTGTCTCCTTTGATAGGACTTGATTACCAAGCTTGTCTTTGAGAGACCGGAGAAACCAATGGAATTTTTAGTGAAAGAAATAGAAGACGTGAAGGGAAGAGGATCAGAAAGTCAAAGCATGGACTGAACACCTCGCTAAATAGACCAATTTATGAAATTTAAAATGGAAAAAAAAAAAGAAAATACAAACAAACAAAAACAAAATAAAACCAAAACAAAACAAATAAATATAAAAAGAAATTCAAAACAGGAGGAGAAAGAAATACAGATTAAACATTGTCTTGAGAATGTTGGATTTTGAAGATTCTAAGAATGTTGTACACAAAATGCACAATTTATTGGTGTTGATTTATTTTTTTGACATTTATTATGATGTTTGCAGTGGATTGAAATATTTGTTACAACCATGCTCTAATTGCATTTATTTTTTTAGGAAAAAAGTATAGAAAAAAAGAAACATGTGAAAGGTTGAAAGCTAAATAAGAGTTTGTTGAGTTTATAATATTATTCTGAATGGGATCATGAACATTATTGTGTCTCATGTATGCTCAGAATCCTTTACTGTTTCTGTATGAATTGAAGACTGTTCTACTTGACAAATAAATCTTATATTCATTAACCCCTTTACACTCTAATATCAGTATGCATATTCTTAATATAAATGGTTCTCTGTAAATTTCCTTTGCTTCTGACAAGCACTATTTATTTAACAATCGATAGTATCTTTACATGATGATCATTTTCCCTATCCTCATAACTTTTAAATAGGATTTGAAGGTGATATTGTAAGGAGAGAATAGATGTCAGTCACTCAGGGATTTAAGGATCAATGGCCTGCAAATGTCTCAAACTTGATCCTTTCACTGAAGTAGAGGAAAATGGACACCAGCGGTTGCTGGATTGTGCTGAATTTTGATTTGAATTAATGAAGCTTGTCTTCACTCAATTTGATATGTCTATTATCATGCTCCTAAGATTCATTATTCCAGATATTTGCTGTCCTTAAAAATCTTCTTTCTAAGATTTTTATTTTAAAAATCATATCTGTGGAAGGGTTCTGACAGTCTGCAGGGGTCAAGAGCTTGGAGACTCACAAGACTCAATTGATGCAAAATTGCAAGGGCTTGTTGCAGAAGATTTCATCAAAACTTTTCAATTAGTTATAAAAGTATGGGAACTTGGTCTTTTGTGCTTAGATGTTAATTTGAAACTTATGTTTGGAGGGAGTTTTATTTTGCATTAAATGATAGTCTTCACTTTAGGAGGAAAAATGGGAAGCTGTACCATTGGTAATCATAAAACAGGTTTAATTTCTCAAAACACCAAAAATTCATTCAGCTAAAAACTTACTTCCTTAATCTCCTATGGACAATTAAAAGTTCCTTTGACTGACTGCCGAGGAAACAAAAACTTCCAATTTTTTTTCTTCTTTTCAAGTTTCGCAAACACTGGAATTTCGACTATTTCGGTTTCCGAACCCGTCCAAAGGTTGTTGTTGCGTGACGTATTAACACGTGATCAGGGGAATTGTTTTGGGACGGTACGTCTGGCAGAGTAACCAGACTGAGCTTCGCGAATTTCAGGAATCTCCGGAGTGGTGTATTCTATCAAAGATGATCCAGTCACTTGTCATGCATGAAGGATCCACTAAGAACAAAAATCCTAACTCAGCGCAACTTTACGGTCAATGAACAGTGAGTAAAATTCGTTTGTTTGCAATTAATTCAGGATTACTGCGGAGATTGTTTGTCTCAAAGCAATACTTAAATCGGTCTAATCCCGTACTGATTTGCTGTTGTACGTGTCCAGTAGTTGGAAAGCTTACCACGAGGTAATGGTTGTTACAAGAGATAACTCATCCGTTCTGCCTGCGGCATGCAAATGGTGATTTATTTGGTAAGGCCCACATCCCGTGGTCGAATCGTCCGATTGGGAAACAAATTCGAATAGTTACCTTGAAATTGTTTATCAACTTACAACGATTGCGGAAAATTGCTAGTCTTCCGTGGTTTACAAAGTTCATCTCTGTTACTATAATCACAAATAGACTTCAATAGTTTATTATGAAGGGAAATAGATAACTTAAATCAAAATAAAAAGGATGTGTACAGGCAAATTCAACGCGAAATTTAATACAATGTTACAATAATATCGTGTGAACATACAGCGCAAGATATCCCTATCTCCCCTCGGAACATGATTTCGCTCCTTAAATCGAAGTCGAAGGTAACTGTTTCTCTGTTTTAATCATTGATTCTTAACAAAGTCTTCTATTATTGATAGCGATCCGGCACTTCATGGAAAGCTTTTAAATGAGGTCATCTCAAATCAGACTCGTTGACTGTGCATAAACGTGTGTTTGTTCTTCCAACGAAACTCGTCGCGACAGATAAATAAATTAGAAAAATACCACGTTTCGTTGACTCCCTCTTCCGGCGTAAAAAAATGCATGTTTTTTGAGGGCAAAATTCAAAGACCGGGCTTCCGAAATGTTTTGCTTTATCAGATAATTCCCCCGGGTATAGAAGTAATTTGAATGTCGTAAAGTGCAGTACGTTTATTTTATAATTTTTGCGTAATACGAACCAAACTCTTCATCAAACAACAGTGCCTCTCTACTTCTCGTGCTTAAGGGTGAGTATTTTTTATTTGCGACTAGATGGATCTGAATCGATCGAAGCATTGTGACTTTATCTATTTCAAGAATATTCGTTTTTTTCCGGGAACTAGAGGCATGCTGTTAAAGAAAATTGCTTTGTTGTCATTTTTTATTATCTATTGTCTGAATAGAAGGATAGTCTGCCAGAGCTCGTAAAAATTTCCTGCCAATAAAGTGATATTTTATTGTATGGGCTGCCTCGCCTTCAAAAGTTGTTTGAAAATGACTTTTAGATGGGTCTGGTGCCAATAACGAGTTGGATTTCCATGCTATTTGCAGAGGGAACCAGATGTCACATGTTTTGCAAGCAAGTGGCAAATCAGTTTTATTTTTATCTTAAGGTTAATTTTATCCATTAGTTGATGATATTTTAGTAAAATTTGGTAACAGTTAAAAAGAGCCTTAGGATCTCTTTTTATTTCTTACTGCAATTTTGTTGATCAGGGTTATTTTTTTATACAAGTCTTCTAGTCCTCATAAATGTTGTTTCCAGCTGTTAGAAACTCTTCACTTTTGAAAATCAAAGGAACAATCTACAGTAATAACAGCTTGATTTTACCAGAAACCATCCTTACCTTGCGATGAAAAAAGAAATTGTTGAATAAATGTTTTACTCTATTCCTAAACAAATCAGAATAATATGTATTATTATCTGATTCTCTGCACCTCCAGAGTGCAACTGACCAACATGACCTTAAATGCATCATCAGAACATCAGTTTAATAATTTCCAGCAGTTGCTAAAGTCTTGAAACCACTTGCTGTATCAGCATGCTGTTTTTAGCAAAAGTGTTGACACCAACTGATGTATTAGCATACTGTTTTAAGCAAAAATCTGATTTTTATACTGTGTGATTTAATAGGAGTGCTGAAAAACTATAGCATTTCTTCTCATTATAATCACATGGACTGTAGTGAAGTCAGTCAAATTGCTATTACCATACACTTTATATTTTTTATGTATTGATGTATTGTGGGTTGCAATACCTGGCTTTAAAATTTAAGTGCAGGTGTGAGGAAAAAATGTGAAGTTAAGTGGAAATGTACCTCAAAGTACAGGGGGGGGGGAGTTGGTAGCTACATATGTTAGAAGCTATGATAGGAATGGTTGTACTATACCTTCCTAGTGGTGCAGTAGCCAAAGGGTTATGGCACTGGACTCTGGGACTTAGAGTTACTAGTTCGAGACCTGGCTGTTGTGTTCCCCTCTACTCTCACAGTACCTCTGTACTCCCAGGAATATGAATAGGTGGTGGCAAACTGTCAGGGAGAATGTTAAAAAAAAGGGGAGTAACCCACTATAGACAATCCAGAAGGGAGGGTAGTAATACTCCTGGTCACTTCATGTTTTTGAGAATAGGATAAGCTTTGTCACCTTGTAGGCCCTTTGGCTCAACTAGTGACTTTACCTAGGGCTTGAAATAACAGCCAGTCAATAGACAATGTCCAGTCAAATAAAGGTTTTGCCTGTCAACTCCTTTAGAGGCTGACATTTTTTCTAGTTGTTTCGGCATGTAAATAAGAATTTAATTTCAAGGGAAGTTCATTACTTTTTGTGAATTGAGTCCCAGGCTGCATATACAATAAAAGCATGGTAAATACACTTATTCTAAAAGGGAAGGGGGGTTCGATGAGATTTTAGGGATTTAAAGGATATTTTTGTGGTCACGTGAGTTGTGTCTAAGCAAAAATAGGTCTGACAGGACAACCTGACCAGTGCTAACCAGGAAATTATTGCGAGCCCTGACACCTGTCGTTAGCCTTCATGAGGGTGGCATACAGAAGTAAGCTTTTACTTCTTAAGCACTCAGAAGCTGATTTTCCCTTTGGTTATGTCATCGTTATCTACTGTAACAAAGCATATAAAGCAAACCAAACTGAAATTTGTGTCAAGTTATGGTAGGAAAAGTTTACTCTAAACAATTTGTACTTTTCCTGTCTCGGTACCTGGTTTTCTCAGACTTCAGTGAATGTTCATTTTTGTAACAGCAGGATATGCTTAATGCCAACACAATTAGCTGTTTTGATTTTTTTTTTTTTTCAATTCATGTTTTACAACTGTTTTGCAATATTTTTATGGGCTTTTTTTTTTCTGTAGGGTCTGAAAATAGTAAATGTTTTAGATCTTAATTTTTTGCCTCAGTACATGAGACTCAAACAGAGGATTTTTTTTTCATTTATTTTCAGTCGGCTGTAATGTATTTGGTCAATTCATACCACCATGTTCTCAAAAACATTGACTCAAGCTGGGGAGACTCAACAATTTCAAGCAACTCACGAAGTGGTAAGAGAACACGACGGAGAAAAATCGATTCCTCGCATTCATTCTCACAGAGTTCACGCAGAAGTAGTCAGACATATGCTAGCAGTTCAGAGAGTGGCCTGTACAGTGAAGAACTGGTCAATTCTGGTTACTATGGAGATGATGAAGTAGACCGCTGCCCTTGTACTAAATGCGTTAGTGAGGCACTAGCGGTAAAACCCAAGACTGATATAGTGGCTGACTATGACATTATTAGTGTAGACTCAAGCGAGTCTACAACTCCCGAGTTACAACTAAGCTGTGTTTCACCCATAAAGCAAAGTAATTTTGATGATTATGTGATCATTCCTTCGTCTAAAGAGGAGTTTTTTGCTGACGCTTTAGCGCACAGCACTCCTATCTCGGAGAAAAACAGTCATGGGTTTGGTGCGAGCATGAAATCAACCGCTGTCGCTCAAGTCACCGTCAGCCTTCAAGCCACTGTCAGTCTGCGCTACTCTTGCAAATTGCTAGAAGAGGATGAAAGCGATAGCTCTTTAACAAGGACTGCTGCTTTGCAGAGAATTGCCGGTAAAAATGATAGCACAAGTTGTTGGTGGAGAGAGAACATTGTCTGGCAGTTACAACAGCGAAATGATACTCAAACGAAACGGTTTTCACAACTTCAAACCGACAATCAGAGTTGTCGCGCTAAAGTCAGAATCAACAGAGAACTAGCTGACTATTTGAATAAGTACCCAGACTTGCGACCACAGGCCGAAACAACATGTAACGTCATGGTCAATATGGAAGTGGACCCTATTGAGAGATCAGAACTTTTTCTAGCGATAAGAAACCAACGGACACCTAGCGATGAAACTGGGGAATATCCTCGTCCGAGATCGGACAGCATCGCGCATTTGGCAGCCACTTACTTAAAAAGGCAGAGAACTTTAACCGAAAGAAAGCTGACTGAAAGCGAAGGCTCTTACTCACCCGCATGTGCAAGGTCCCGGATAAGCAATCGCGCGGGAAGACGCGAAAGAGTCCCGGGTAAAAAATGGCGGGAAAGTATAGTGAATCAGCTCGAGATGAGGAACTTTCTAGAATTTAAGTATTTCACAGACACCCTCGCGCGCAGAACCATATCTCAGTTGAGTATATCAGAAAATTTCCCCCATCCAATGAAAGGTGTGGACGAGTATGACATCATCACAGACGACGAAGTGAGTAGCTTGGACTCTAGGAGTACTCTTATGAACTCGGCCCATTCCACCTCACATTCACAGGGCTACTACAGTTCTACATTCAGCAGTCGGTTTTTTAACCTTAAACGCGGCAAGCGTAGATAAGTCTTGTAGCCTAAACTGGCAACCGGCATTTGAAGTGAATTAGATGAACGGACCCCCGATTATTGAGTAGCACCTCAAAATGAAAATTTACATATCGAAGAGAATCGTAATGTATCTTAAACTGAAAGAAGAAATGGTGTATATTGAAAACTAAATCATGGAATTTAATTTTAATCGGACCAAACGCTCCCTAAGTCGGTAAATCAACCGCTAAGCCCGTTTTCAATTTGGTCAGTGACGCTGCCAGGCAACGTTACGCGTCTGATCGGAAGAATGAAACAGATAGCCACAAGTGCACGTGTGGGATTTATTATTGGACTAAAACAATCGGAAAACTTCGGTTTTTTCGACAAACAGTGATTTTCCTTCGACAGTACAATTGTTAGTAAATGATACTAAATGGAAGAGGTTGAACTTTGTAAGTAAATAGCTGCCTTAATTTTATTACATCACTTTTGTTGAACAGGGCTTCGAAGCTAAGCGATTGTATGCATTAAACCCAATATTTAAGCATGAAATTTTGGCAGTGATTAGTGATTTATTTACGAGATGTAACAACTCATGACAAAAGAATATTAACTGAATTGATATTCTCTTGCTCGTGATGATGTTTTTACTTCAGTCTTGTTCCCCGGGGTTACTCTTTCTCTCCCCCCCCCCGAAGGCCTGTACGGGGATGCCGTGAGGGGTGGACCCCGTGGACCGCTTGGTGGGAGCTCAAACTCCTCCTCTTCCCACCACCCTTCTTTCCCCAAACGGTTCTTTGTCGTAATTTTTAAAACGGCTTGCGTATTGAATCTCAGATACAGCGCTGAATCCATGCATTTATCACCAATATCAGGTTGATTCATCGCGGGATAGATTAGTTATTTCAAAACAGATTAAATTTACATGATCGCTCAGCAGGATGGAAATCCGACGTATGCATGATGCATTCTTTCATGTTGTTGCGCTAATGCCGCATTACAACAGTTTATACAACCGATAAGTTAATGATAAAATCATTTCTTGATGAAAGGTTTGCGAATCCCAGTCAAATTACCCTACCGCTTTGGATAGATACACAAGAAAAATAAGCGGCATATTTGTTTGCAGGGTGGGCTTGTCAGTTTCTTTACAAAGCAAGGAAAGTTGTATCCGTTGTGTATTACCTCGCAATATATCGACTATTCAGTAATAATTGGCCATATGAAAATTCACTGTGGAGTCATGGATCTGCCTTCCTATTTCCAACGCAGAAAATTGGATCACTCCGTTGCCATAAAAAAAACAACCATTCAATTCTGCAACTTGACAACATTTATTTTGTATTAAAATGTTCACGAAGATATCTAGATTATGATGTACTCTACGCGATGTGTTGAAAGCTACCTTACACGTCACTGATGCTATTAAATTCAAGGTTATCATGCGATTTCATTGTGCTTTAAAACATTTTTTTCCTTCTTGGCATTGCTGAGACGTCGTTTAATCAAAAATCAAATTACTCAAAAAATTCGTTTCGTTCCCAGGGCTTTTACTACAGGGCAGGAGTTTCGCTCTGGACATAGAGCTTTTAAATGGGGGAGGGGAGGGGATTATATTTTTTTCGAATTAGTTGATAAAAATGAAGTTGCAAATAAAAGTGGACACTTTCCTTTTTCTGCGTGAGAACAATCGTATTCGTCAAAATATGTATGCTATGGCCTGCAGCAAGTAACGTTTACGGTCAATCTCGGGAAACAAATTTAAAGAACCTGCTATGCTATAAGCGAACAAAATTACTCCTTGATGGTTAGAAGTGGTCGATGTGATTTTTATGAATTCCTATTACAGTTTTATATGTCGTCACGGACGGCCTCTCAGTTGCTATGACAACCGTCTAAAGCATGCTTTGGCAACGGGCATATGCCTCCTTACTTCTTTCTCGGCGCTTCCTAGCCGACTGACGCCTTTTTCGCCTTCTTTCCTTGAGGAACTTTTTGCAGTTTTCTCCTCCAAGTCTGCGCATCCATGTACAGATGTGATACACGTCTTGCTCCTTGAAACGCAGGGCGGCGTTATAATTCGTGCTGTAAAACGGCGTGAACCAGATCCTTCTGGAGTGACCGCTACAAGTAAACTGTGGGGGTCTCCTGGTAATTTTGTCGCGGTTCCCAGAAAATACGCCAACGACGTAGCGTAGATATTTCCCTTTTTTAGGCCTGTGAATTTCGTAGACGCCTGCGCCCGACGAACCTCTCTGGGCATCACAGCAGTGATAGAGCAGGTTAGCGGAATAAGTCAGAACTCGGCAACTTCTATATATATAAAAGAGAAAAAAAATGAAATGTAAAAGCCGAGAAATGAAAAATTGGAGTCTTAGTGGATAAAGGAGTTTTAATTAGGTATTTTAGACAAAGTTCGAAACGGTGACTCCCTGATTCCGTGAGGCACGAAGCCACCTGCTGTGAAGAAGGAAAATTCTGTCTCATTCTTGTTCCTGCCTCAAGTATGTGACCACGAAAGATCACACATCACATGTTGACCTGAGGGTAAGACAAAAAAATGTCTGGAGAAAATCAGGCTCAAAAGTTTAAAAAGTGAACCCGTGATTCAATTCATCGTAAAGATAAATCTGTCACTTGAAGTGCTGCGTGGGCGGGAGGTTAAAGCACTCTCTAATACATATGCAAGGTGAAAGAGGCAATTCACGAAAGTTTTCTCCCTGGCACTGGATATCAAGAAAGACAGTGGAACTGAAGGCATTCCAGTAGGATGGATGTCCACAAACAAGTAAAGCAGGAGAACATACACCAATGGCTACTAAGGGAAGACAAAGTGGAAATGCACCAATCACAGCTGTTGAAACGAAGCTTAAGTCTGCAGAGGTTTACGCGTAAGTAATCGACCTAACAATCGACTTTATGGTGCGAAGTTGAAACGGCGCGGTCTACATCGGAAGTAACGGCATGACTACTTCGCTAGAAAAATGATAATACTTTCATTTTTTTGTCTTTTTCATCACGATAAAATAAACCATAAACATTTACACTATTATAAGTATAAGTGTTTATGGTTTACGGTTTATAATTAATTATAATTTAATAAAGGAGGTTAAACAGTTAAAACCTCGACGTTTAATATTTGACTGGTCGAGTAGGGGTGAAAATTAACAAACCTGTATAGTAAAGTCCCATCTTTCCTGTCCTCATCAAAACCAGAGAAATTAATTGCCTCGTGTGCGCAGTACGATCCGTAGAAGAAAGTCCTGCTCGGAGAAATGGGCAGAAAGCATCGACTATGATTTCTTTGGAGCTTTATAAGGGCGTAATCATATTTCGTAGCACTTGGATCACTTCCATTCTTCCACATTTTGGACATCTTAGTGGAGCTGATCGCTCGCCATTCTGTGGTACCATTTCTTAACAGGAAACCAACCTTTAGGCTTTTGTATCCTTCCACGTAGTGGCTTCCGTTGTGTAGACAGTGAGCCGAAGTCAAAACGTGCTTGGGTGACACCAGGATTCCGGAGCAACCCGTTGAGATTCTCACGGCTGCGCTAAAGGGGCATTTTTCCAATAATTTTTGAGGTATCTCCACGCGGTCGTCCCCTGAAAATATCACTCGTTTCGACCTATGTTTTGCAGTTGTTGATCGCGAAGTTCTGCGCGCCTTTGAGATCGTCGATTCAAGATTCTCGAGCACTGCATTAACCTCTAGTTTCCCCCTGGTGTTTGTAATAAACACCTTTCTAGGTGATGATAATCCGTAGACGCGTGGCGAGTTGGCCAAGTTTTTTGCAAGTGATTCTTTGCCATTGTACCACAGTGTGTCCCCCTGAACAATTTCGGTCAGCAGGCAAAAAGCTATCAAGGTTTTCACCGCCGTCATAATGAAAGATCGCAGTAACACCGCCGTTTTATGCCACCGCAAAGTGAGAAAGCCTTGCTACTCCACCTACAGCTGAAAAACAGTAACGCATTGAAATGAATCACTGTCATATCAAACGGGATTTCATTATCATTTTAACATACCAAAACCATCAAAACTAAGTTATTACGGCTCAATCCTCTTAGAGCAGGAAATACGTTCTTCATATGATAAACAGGGCATTGAAAACGGAATAATGCGATGTACAAATGATCTCTAATAAGCTTTTGTATCTGTATTGTTTCCTGCGGCCAATTTTACAGGCTGTTGGAACGATCACAAGATCAACTTTGGCACAGTCTTTGTGGTTTTCTTTATAAGTTGAAAACAAAACAGGTCCCCCAGAGAAATCATTATGACAGATATGGGGCTCGTTAGACGACAAAACTGCAAAATAGAAATATAGTCAGCTCTCAAGTGTTATGTTATTTATTAGATTGACACCAGAATATGTCTCATAACTAACACGAAAATCGGACAAAATTCCACTGATTTGTTCATAAAAGGATTACGTTTTAGCTGCATTTGATAACCAAAACTACTTGAAAAAAAAAATCTTATCAGTGATTCAAAGAAAAGAGAAAAATGCCTGAAATGCATGTTACGAGACAACTGGCGATTCTTAAAAAATTTAGCCTAAAATGTTCGTAATTTGAAATCCGGTTTAAATTAATCTCCTTTATCCTGAGTTATTCCATCGTGTTGTTTGTCTTATTCTCTCTTCCTTTGTCCCTAACTCTTAGTTCCTAGCTTTAAATTCCACTACTGCAATTTTTTCAAATCTCATACAAGTTTAAGGTAATTTAGTACAGGACAGAACCTTACAAGAAATACCGCGACGCTGCTGATACAAGGATCTCGTTCAGAGAAGAGGGCCAAAGAAACTGAATTTGACTCCCGGCCGACGACGAAGATAAGTCAGTGAAAAATTTATGATGATTAAGCGGATTAAGCCCGAAGCACAGTACTTTTGGATACTTCTCTCCTGTAGAGTGAATCAAAAGCTAACTGACCCAAAATTGGTTCGTTACATTTTTGAACCGAGTCAGTTTGATTGAAGGCAGGATTGTGGAAACTTTTAAATTTTTATCTCGTGTTTTAAGCCCGAGGCCTGCAGTGAGGCTGTGTACAGACACAATCGCAAAGCACTTGAGTAATTCACCCCTGTGTTCTGATCCGTCAGTCAAATCTCCAGTTTCTGTTGTGTTTTATATTTATTTATCCAAAAGTAAGAATATTTACCTGAATCCTGTGGCTCCCACCAGGGGTACGGAAAACTTAGCTTTCCCTTGAAAGCAATTTTCGTGCACGAAAAACGAATCGTTCATTTTTTTAAGAGCGTCCGCGGGGACACCAACGCATTGGGCAAAATTAGCAAGAATGTAAACTTTGAACTCAAATTTGTTTCGAAACACTATCTCGCCTTTAAAATCACAAACGCTCATTGATATGTTCTGCCTTAGCAAATACATAGTGCGCGCAGTTACATAGAATTCCGTAAGTAAAGAGGACATGCAAATATAATTTCTGTACACCATATGTAACTCGAATCCAAACACACTTCTTTTCACAAGGACTCTCCGCAGTAGTATTACTACAATTTGTTTGTTCAACCCCAATAACAATCATGCAATATTTACACCAACGCAGATTAACGGATTATTTCTTACGAACTTGTGGAGAGCACTGAATGTGCTTTTTCGTCCGCACTAGAGGTAAAATATCGTTATCTGTTCCACAAAACGTGTACATTATACTCATTTCTAAAAGTTCTCGAAAAAAACAGCCATATTTCAATACGTACCGCTGTTAAAATGTCTGAGCCAAGGGCTAAAAAGTTGTGTCTTACGAAAGATGTTCTTCCTGCAAGTGATCACGACTTGACTGAAAGTTCAAATGACACTTTAAGGAAAGTTATAACCTGCAGATCAAGGAAACAGACTAGGTCACGCAAAATAATTCCCGGTGTTTATTTAAGGCAAAAAACGTGACAGAAGATAAGGTTATAAATTGATACAGCGCCAGATGTAACCAGTTTCTTTTCTTTTCTTTTTTTTTTTTTCTTCGGTTCTTCTTCTTCTTTTTGAATGGTTTTGTCGTAAAGCCATGAAGATCGCTGAATGAATGACGTTGTTTTCGGGTGGTCGGTTTTTTCTCTTTTAACTGGCTTCCTGCGATTAAATATCTGTTTATTCATGTGGTGAATAAGAAACACAACCAGTTTTAAGAAGTGCGGTTTACTTGTTAAGGATACAGGTTATCAAGGGGCTGCAGTGAACATTGCAAGGTGACACTATCAAAATACCAACGTTATTCACCTCCCGGACAGACATGGACGTGTTTCATAAATGCGGTATGATTGAGTGAAAAGTAACCACTGAGATAGAGTGCTAAAAAATGTTTGCAAATATTTTTTTTTACAATACTCGCGAGTCATCTGCTTCAGTCCAGTCTCGAGATCGGGTTCGCCCGAATGCGGATCTTTGATCGGTATGTCAGAGCGACGGCTGGTGATTACCGCTAAGAAATACACTTTTGCTACAATCTGTCACCTCGGAGAAACAAAAAACCTCTTATACATTCAAAGTATCAAAGCTTCAGTCGTTTTAGTCAGTTTAACAGCTCTAAATATTTTGGCTTAATGCCCGTAAGTTGTCTCACCGGCAAATTTGCGGAGTGAACTTTGTCCCTTTCATCTCATCCCCATGACCCCGATTATCCGGCACTTTTTGGGACCAGATATCCGGTTCCAAAAAATTAAGATAATGAAAATACACGAAAGAGCATACGGAGGAAGCTTGGGCCAAAACTCTCAGGACTAACGAATTCGAAGTAACCACTGTCCGGGAATTGGGCCCCATGCTCCTCCTCAGAAAAGATCGAATGCGTTTGGAGGGGAAACCTTGCAATTGGAGAAAAAAAATTAAACGCAGGCTTTAATTCAAATATTCCCTCCGGTTCTCATCTGGGTTATATGCGGAATATACCTAATTTCATATGAACGCCTGCGTGTTTTGACAGGTTGCTAAATTTCTTATCATCAAATTAAATTTACCAAAATAAAGAAGAAGAAGAAGAAGAAGAAGAGCAAAAAAATATATTTTTAATCGCTAATCCTTTTATTTTCTTTCCCGAATTTTTTTTTTCAGGCTCCATAAAAAAAGTTAATAGAGAAATGAAAAACAGCGGCTTTTTCACCTGCTCTTCAATCTCATTACTTGAGAGTGAGCTTAATTTCACGGGTAAATAGTATGTCTGAAGAAACTCGTAGGAGCTCAGTTTTCATGATTTTCTTTAACATCATTTTCGCCGTAATTAAGTACTTCAGTAGGCGTGGGAAACCCTGCTTTCTTTTACGTGATTTCTACAGGTTTATTTCTGGCATAATCAAAGACATCTCAATTATGGCAAGAAATAGTGTTGTGATGACAGACACGTTGTGTTTTACTTACCCACAGATTAATCAAAGGACCTTTATCGGGTCTCACGCATGCGCAGTTTTTTCGAAGTGAATGACCCTTCATTTACTTAGGGGTAGTTAGAAGGAAAAACAATGCCCCGAAGACTAGGAGTGACGCGCCCCTTTGTAGACATTGTTCAGCCCGTCGGATGATCGAACGATCATGTCTAAGATGCTAATTGTAATGATTGAATCATACAAGCGCTGGCCAAATTGATTAGCCATGTTGGGTGACGTTTGCTGATGATTACACGGATTTAACCATCATTAAGGAGGGTATAAATTCACTAACAAAACCTCACCTGGAACACGTGAGTTGATGATGATAAATAATTTAGAAATCAATTAAATTTGTAACGTTCTGTGTGCTAGCATTGAACTGAAAACTAAGATGGTAAAATTCCCCCACGTTCCGCGACATGGAGCGATATTGCAAAATTAACTAAAATCACAATTCCAGCACGATCTAATAGTCTATAAATAAGTTTTACATCCAGCATTACTATTTAACACATAAGAACTGACTCCTTTTCTATTCTTTTTTTGTGAGTGGTAATTATTACTTACATGAAACAAAACCCATCCAAAACCTAGCCAAAAAAGTGATGTTCTCCTGAGTAAATTCACTCAAGATTTTGTGTAAAATACACAAGTGCTTTTTAATACAGAGTTAAATGCTACAGGAAACTTAGCTTCTTACATTATTTTTCTCGTAAGTTGAAAGCTCCAACATATAGCGTACGTTTCCTCAAAAAAAGGAAACGGGTATCTTTTCAAGCAGTGGATTAGCACGTATAAGTAGTAAAGGGCATAACAAAAAGTAGATACCTGAAAACATAAAAATGATGGAACTTTTCGAAAAGTCAAACAATAAAATTTCTACTTACAAGGTAACGTATGTGTTTGCTTCTTCCAATGGAAAGTAATCTGCGAATAAAGAAATGTACTCTTATTGCTTGTTTTATAGCGAAGAGCCCATGAACAGCTTCCGGTTTGCTAAATGCATGTTCACGGCTGGGTGTCTGGCCCAGTTTGTCTGCTTGTCATCGCGTGGTTAGAACGTTCAATAGGAATATAATTTTCCCGTCTATATAGAAGCCTTGCCGTCCCAATTTCCGACATCTGCACGCAAAAAAGAATCGTTCAGTTGGTAAGTGAGGCTTGAAACAGATACACTGAGAAAGCGTCGCTGGAAATTGGAAACGTTGACTTGAGCGGAGCCACGAATTCATTTGAAAGTTTTTGACGACAGATTGCAGCGAAGCATTATCCTATTGTAAACTAATTATCCTGATTTCAACCCTCTAATGATTGCGGTTAAATGAAGTTAGTCTTCATGGCGACATCTTTTGAATGCAACACAGGTGTGCTGCTCATAAGCCGGGCAATAAAAATGCTTGACCTATGAAAATTGCATGTCCCACATATGTACTTTTTGAAATGAAATCGTAAGGGTTCTCTCCTTCAAAGTTTTTCTATTCCAAACGCTCTTCTCCAGATTCTCCAGACGCTTTTCTGCCTAATAAATTTTTCAGTAATAAAAACCTAAGTTTGTAAGCAGACACTGATTTCAAATGGTGGAATGTTTGTTCGCTTAAATTTCGATTAATGAAAATCAAATCGACTTCCAATTAACAGAATTTAAGTCTTTACAACAGTTGTACCTGGTCTATCTTGGAGCCCGTTAAAATTTATATTTCAGACAAATAAACAGAATGTTGTCGAACAAAATCGATCTTACGGGTCTCTAAGCTATAATTTTATACTTCAATAACGCTGATGAACTTTGCATGAACTTCGTGTTTTCAAATCAATAAAAATTAACATTTTAGGTGTATAAATTTTGGGATAAAGTGCATTTTGACAATTCTCGATTTTCTTGAAAGGAATTTCTGCTAGGTTTTTGTTTCATTCACATGGGCACTACATGAATTGGCAGGGGCGTTTTATTCTTTTCATTTCCGGGACTGCCGTCAAGATTTAAGGCGCCGTGTTCAGTGTGCATGAGTTAGCGGTAGGTATTTCGCATTCGGCTGTCACGATTTTTCTGTCAATTTTCCAATAATCCATACGCTGGGGGCAGAATTTCCTGGGATCGCTTGTAACATATTCAAAATAACTTCACAGGAGATAGATTTCTCTACAAAGCTTTTCAAAATAAACTCATTTAAAAAGGAAAAAAAAAGGAATCGCTACCATACAGGTAAACGTTTGCAAGTTAAACTTGCGATTTCTGCTCGCTTTGCGCCTTCGTTCAGTGATTTTTCTTATCTCGAAGAAAACCACTAAGATAAACAGTGGTCTATTCACTCAAAAACGCTTAATTTTTCCGGAGGGAAAAACCATTTTGGTGAAGTTCCAAATAAAACAATTAATGATGAAATGAGTCTAATATGGAGGTAATTCACTGGGATTATTTCATTTGTTCTAAATCCTGTTGGGCGGGGCTTAGAGAGCTCTCGCTTTCAATGCACTTTTGTAAATGCAGTTGTGAATGCTTTTAAAGTTGATTATCTCACGAGATTTCTCCTGGTGTTTGGAAAGAACACCGTTTGACGTCCTACAGGTTAAGTCATCATGAAATTCAAGACGAGACCTGTTCCGCGAGGTGTTTTTCCATTTTGTGAATGCTAAAAAAAAAGATGAAAAGTTCACAAATCACTCGTAGTTGTGCCAGATACTTTTTACAGGTATTCAAATTGTTTTAGAACTTGTTTCATAACGAATACAATATTCTTTGATAAACATTTTTTTATACTGGAAATACCCACTTCGAATTTAGAGACAATGACCGTGGTAAAAAATTTCTAATGCAAGATATTCAAAGCCAAATCCTTGAAAAATTCTGTCGACAACTGGACACAATGAGAACTGTTTTTCAGGAAAATGCAAAGCGTCTCAAAATGTGAGAGAGTTCAATTTGGTTCATCAACATTAGCACAAAACATAATGTGATGTCAAGATTAAAACAGTAAAGGTCGAACCGACAGGGGAGACAATACGCAGTTATTGAATGAAAACTCTTTATGCGATGTTGGTATTACTTCTTCACAAAACAGGAAGACGTTTCTATAATTCATACACACGATTGAGCATTCTTTCACACTCACTTCGAGAATGGAGACTCGTTGATAAGTGATTATGTTTCTTGGGAAAGCAACACGGAAACCTGTTAATACCTAAACAGACACCTGTCACTCTTACAAGTTTTGAAAGCGCCCCAAGTCCTTTTGTCGTCTGTCTGTAGACACCTACTCCAATGTTGTCAAAGAAAACCATTCTCATGCACAGACACTTTGAAACTATCAACAAATAAGATATTCAATGAATCCTGTGGTTTAGTTTAGTCTGGTGAACAGTTTTGCACACTACTGCCACCTGTTTGTATTGTGGAGAAAATAAAACAGAAAATTATCTCAAATATGTCGTCATCGTATACCCGATCCAATTTCACATGGAAATCAGTACGGAATCTAATAAATCATGGAGAAACAAAACAAAGATTTCAAACTTCATCCGCAGCTGTGCATGAACCCCACTCTCCTCTTGAGGATTTTTACACGCTTCAGATGAGCCGTTTGTTCTATCTAATTGTCTTCTTCCATCTCCTAACAGCTTTGCTTGTCGTCGCAGCACAGTATTATTTTTTATCACTGGAATACCCGCTGCGATACACAATGAAAACTGTCCAAACAAGGAGTGCTGTTGAATCGAACCTTTCACACAGGCGCGGAATACGAGAAAACAACAAACATTCGCATAACGAGGTGTCAAAAGTCCATGTTCAGACTCCTCGGCGTTTATACTTGACTTATCAACCGCCGGATGGCGGGTGGAATAATCACCGTATTGCCCTCGAAAATGCACTTATCATGGCTAAGTTGCTCAATAGAACATTGATGGTGCACCCATTGGCATCGCACGATATGGCGATTTTCTCGAGACGGAAAAATCTCGTGTTTTGGAGAAATTTAGAAAAAAGATGGGGAATAAACTGGGTGTATAATCTTATGGCTGAGCGAGATCTGGTACCCATCTCTGAGGTTCTCGATCTCCAACTTATGCGTAGAGTTTTGGATGTTCATGAAGTGAAGACAAACCACAAAAAGTTCTTGGAAGAATTTGCGAATTTCAAATGGCATCACGTCTGTCATTCTGATGCTTTGGGATTTTGGGTGGATGCTATTCCGTCGGAAAACGTGAGTTCGACCAGGGAGATCGAATTTGTCCCGAACAATAGTTCGAGGAGTATTCGAGCGTGCCCGAGAGAGATCGAAAGATATATGAACGCAAGCAAGCCCGTAATACGACAGATTTTGAGCGAGCTTAAAAACGAACGTGCCGATATCATCTATTTGTCTCAAGACACTAGCTACAAGGCAAATGTTCGATTGTTCCACAAAGAAGACGCAAAACAAGCGCTGCAGTGGATTCTTGATAACATCAAATTTTCACCTCAGATCTATCAAAAAGCGTTTCAGATTTTGTCGATTCTTCCTCAACCTTTTAACGCCATACACGTGAGAAGAACCGACCACAAAATAAGCGCTAGCATGGCGCCATCTCACTGGTTGAACAGCATGGCACAAAAACACTTCCTCAAGATCTCCGCTGCCCTGTACGTCGCCACCGACGAACCAAACAAGGCCTGGTTTGAGCCTTTCCACCGCGCAGGTTACCAACTGTATTTTTCCGACGAGTTTTTCAATCCTTCGGGGCGTTCTTTTGATATGGATATCAAAGGATTGTATGATCAAGTGATCTGTATACACGCTAAACTTTTCGTAGGGTCGAAGAGCTCCAGTTTCAGTGGGTTTATTTACCGCTCAAGAGGTGAAGTAATGAGAAGAGATGGATTAATATTGAGTCATATGCCAGTTGGCTGGTTTGTGCATAAACTGAAACGTCAAAATTGAAACGTTCTCTCATAAAAGAATGCGTCGGCGGAGTGCCATAAAACCTTGACTCAAAAGAGCACGGTTTAGTTCGGAATCGAGGTAACTTTCATTTCCGGTCTGTAGCCCGAGTGGGGACGTGACAGTTGTAACCGCAGATTTTCACACCACATTCATCCCATGTTAATAACACGTAAAACAACAGTTTGAAATACTTGTCATTAATGATACAAGGACGTCGAATGTGGTGGTCAAATAATGTAGTCCTGTGTATCTATCAAATGTTTCAACTTTCCTCGACGCTGTAGGCAGCTGTTTTGGAAAAGTTGATTTACGAATTTGTTGTTCTAAGAAACCGTGAAATTCGCTGAAAATCGGTGAGAAACCATTACTAATTGTCGCGAAAGTGACGTGTTGCTGTTACTCTCACGATTCTTTTCCCACCCACACTGAGAAGCTGGGAGGATAACCTCGAACTTGATTCGTAGCAAGAAATGGTCTATCGTTCCGGCTCAACTTCTCACATTAAGTATTAAACAATAGTTCTTTTGTTATTTGTAGCGCCGAGGGACTTTGGCCAAAGCGACGCGAAAAAGTTCGCGACAAATCGGAAAAAAAATTTCCGGTGTACCTCTCTGTGTACTTTTTTTTTTTTTGTCGGATAGTTTGTTATCATACTCGTTAACCCTTTAATTCCCAATATCCGATTATTTATTCTCCCTTCCAGCTTATAAACATTTCCCTGTAAATTAGTAACGAGAATTTAGCGTTAAATCAAAATAACAATTACCTGATAAGTTTGAGTATTCTCGTCACTTGTTTGCTGGATGAGTATGGATATTTTATGGAGAAGTTACAGGTTAATCACTACTGGGAGTTAAGGGTTAAGATGCCACTGCATCTCGCGAGGATGGATTTACTTACACGCGAGTCGAAATGCTTTCCCCGCCCGTCTGCGACGTGTTACTGACCAAGGAACAATTTCTAAACGAAACTGACCGTAAAGAAGAAAAAAAAGACACAAATTTCATCCCATTACATTTTATTGTTTGGACTTTTTAATTACCAAGAGCACATTATCCTGCAATTCTGCAAACAATCAACATTTCAGCGGATACAATCTAAGAAATTTTTCTTCTCTGGATCTTAACCGTTCCAAACCCCAGGGATATCAAATCCCTGGGATATACCCTCGGAGATGTCGCTGTTTTGTTCTGCATCCAAACACTTATTTTTTTTTACATCTCCATTCCACCATTGATACCTTATAAACAGGGAAATTTATACTTTGTACAATTTATTGTCAGCCTTGATCGCCGCGAAAATTTGAAAAAAGGGAAAACTAAATCTTAAATTATTTCATCGAAATAAATAAAATCTTGTTTGGATTAAGGACATTTAAGTTAACTTTAGATTAAATAATGTTTGCCACGAAAAGCTTTAGTTTCTTTAACCAATTTAATCTATAATAGTCTAGTAGATTTCACCTTAGCACCTTCTGATTGTTAACGAAATAAATCTACCTTTCATTAATTTACAACTTTCACTTTTCAATGGCTCAAATATTTACAATTGCAGATTATTTCAAAGATACTTAAATAACCTTGTCAAGAACTACAGTTACGGAAAAAGTCACTTCAACGACATTTGACATAACATCTCAAAAAAAATACCGATTAAACTGAAAGGTAAATATATCAAAACAAGTTCTTGAATAGATTTTTAATTTCGAATAATAAAGATAATTGCAAAAACATTAGTTGAAGCCTTTTCTTTCGTTTGAAATTCTAATATCATCACACAAAAGCGAAATATCATTAGCTATAAATATGTAAGGGAGAATAAAAGATCGCTTCAACGCACGAAACTAAAGGGAAACTAAACTCAGCAGGTTCCCTGTTCCCGGGGAGACAATTTATTTTAGATATATTGCGATTCCTACTTACTTCAAATAACTCTTTCTATAACAACTAACAGAAATACCTTTCTGCTACAAGATTGGAATATCCCCGAACATCAAATCACAGGTACGTTTAGAGAAAGTTGGGAATGTCTATAGCAGAGTGCATTGTTGATTTTCTTGATCATCCCGCGACGTTCTTTCCCTCTTCTCCGCCATTCTCAATTGTTTGTCAAGTTCCTGCAGTTTTTTCCTCTGTTCTTTGATCCTTAACAGCTCGTCTGTTTTTCCCTTATCACTCATTTCCTTTTCCAACAAGTCCGCCATGAGAAACAACTCCTCAGCAGCTTTCGCTGCGCAGCGTTGTTGCCTCACATCAAGCTTCGCCAGCTGCCGTTTATCCTTCTGTACTTTATCCTTGACTCGGTGCAGGATCTCTGAGCGCTGCTCTAATTCTTGTTCCACGTGCTCCAGCGTCTCCTTATGCACAGCCTCCAGGTCTGCGAGTTTCCGCCTCTCGGTCTCCAGCAGCTGGTTGACGGTACCCTTCCGTTTCTCCAGTTCCTGTACAGCTTCTCCAATCGTCAGCTCTGCTACCTCCTGCTGCTCTTTGTGCTTCTTCTCGAGCTCAAGCAATCGCACTTTCTCTTTCCGGATCAAACTCCGTTCAGCTTCTCTCTCGTTCTCCAACTCCTCCAGCTCTTCTTCGTTCAAAGTCTCCTTCTCTGCCTGCTGCAGCGCTTGGCTGTGCTGTCGTTCCAGCAACGCAATCCGCCTCCTTTGCTTGTAAATGAGCTTCTTGCGTTCTCGACCCTCGCGATCGACGTCTTCACACCTTTTCTCTATCTCCTGTTCGTATTCGATCAGAGGTCCGAGTTCATTCCTTACCAAGCTCTCAACCTTCTCTCGCAGTGGCATCAGGATCAATTTCTCGCTCTCCAGGTGTTTCTCAAGCTTAGTCTTGGTCTCCGTCACCATTAGCGTTGCTTTCTGCAGCGCTGTTTGATGTTTATTCAGCAGTTCGTTGATGATCTTCCGTTCCTCCCTGATATCTTTTATTTCTTCCCGTGTTTCGAATTCTAGAAGTTCTTTCTTTTTGGTAAAATCTGCTTCAGTCAACTCACTTTCCTTATCTTCGTTTTCTAACTCTTCCAACCTCCGTCTTGCCTCCTCAACTTTCATCCTCGCTGCTCTTCTCTCCATGATCATCTTCTCTTTTTCTATGAGAGAAGCTTCCTCCACCTCTTCCGCGTTCTCCAGCATCTCCCGTACGTCCCTAATCTTGGCGTAAGACTGTTCCTGTGCCCTCTTGTGCTTGGCCTGAACCTCTTCCAGCCGCCGCCACTCCCCTTCAATGGCTGACTTTCCAGTAGTGAGGCTGCGGAGTCCCTCCAACGTTTCCTGCTCCACTCGCCTGACAGAATCTTTAGCCTGTGCCACCTCTCTCTGTGCTTCCTTCCGCTGCTCCTCGTAATCAACCTCCAGCTGCCTAAGTCGTTCACGAAGTACCTCAAGTTGTGACTTTTCGTCAGGCTCCGCCCGAGCAGCTGCTTCAGCAGCCGCTTCTGCTTTTGTTTCGACAGCTGCTTCAGCTGCTTCCTCGCTTCCTTCTGCGGACCCTTGCAAGGCGTCACTGCTAGCAGAGGGACTAAGAGTTCCAGATGAAGATGCGACGCTGTTACGCTGTGCAGTAGCCCTTGCTTCCCGCTCAGCTGCTTCCAGTTCTTGTGATTTAGCTTCAATTTCCTGCTGAAGTTTTGCCACCTCTTCCCTCTGCATTTCAACCTAACAACAAAATTTACATTAGAGTAAATAAAAATTATATTTTTTTCAGCAGATGAATGAGGAAAAAAGTACATATCTGTCTGGAAAAGATCTTTCAAAATTCTAGTTTCATAAGATTACTTAATGAATCTAAGACAACTTGCTGATTATTGGCCAATAAAAGATGAGGCTTTCACATCCAACTTGAAAAAATGCCGCTTTCTCTTTTACTGGTCAGTCATGTTAGTTCTTTTCAAAGGCGTTCCCAGCCTACTACTATCATCCAAAAATCTCTTCACCACATTCCCACAGCAATTTAACCAAAAGTTACATCCCCTCGATATTTCCTTGTTATAAAATAATGTTATTTGTCATACCCGCACACTACTGCACAATTTACAAATCTCTGACTTCTTTTTCTTTCTTTTCACTCTTCGTATCAGTTCTCGCTGTTTACCTGTCGTCGTTCTTGGTCCCACTTTTTCTCCAGGTCCTCCTTGATTCTTCCCATCTCTTGCTCTTTGATATGAACCTTCTTCCTGTGATCTTCTTCAAGGGCCACCAGGCGCTGCATTTCAGCCTCCAGCCGCTGCCTCTCTTCCTCTTGTTCTTGACGGATCCTTTCCTTCACCTGGTTCAGTCGCGCAACAGAGAGATCAGAACAAAGACAAATGTCTCAAGGCACAAATAAGAATTCAAAATAAAAACGAAGAAATTGACTGATGCAAGGGAAAACGTAATTAAAAAGTCCCAGCTAGTTCTTTGCCACTAATTGGTTGAGAGGGTGGGACGAGTTTTCGGGACCACACAGCTCGAAGTGAAGCAAAACTAGAGCAATTCCTTCGCTCTGACGAAGGGCTAATGCTTGAAACGTGAGCTTTATAACTCTTTACGGTGGCCAATTTATATTATCAACTTAATTGATAAAACCAAATTGCCTAGCGCAATTCCAGATTATTTTCGACACTCTATTGAAAATTACCCTATTTTCATTCAAAATACCTGTCTTATTTCATCTTCGGCTCGTTTTCGCGCCAGTTCTTGTTCTTCTCGTATCTCCTCCAGATATTTCTTCTGTAGTTCTAACTGTTGGTGACTCGCTTCTAGTTCCTTTCTTCGTTCCACCTCCTCTGCACTTCGAACTTCAGAAGCTCTCTGTTGCTGGGAACGGAGGAACTCCAGTTCACGTCTGAGAAGAAAAAAAGCTCAAATTCAACAAATGTACCACAATGAGTTTCTAAAAATCCACATCATCGGATTATTCCAGTTAGATGCAACGCGTATTACATAACGAAGTCATTCTGACGCTTCCAATGACATGAGAGTACATAACGACATGGCTACTGGACCAGAATTAAACCACTCCCACTTCTACTCATGCGTTAAACCGAGAGTGATTCAAAGATGTAAAATTATGTCACCAAACCTTGCTTCCTCTAGTTTGTCAGCAGCCTCTCTCTGTTGAGTTTCAAGACATCGTCTGTGTAATGGGAGAAAAATAGAATAAAATAAAATAAAAAGTTAGAACGATTCTCTAGCAACCCAAGCGACTAAAAATCGAAAATAACATTTCATGGCTCTCTATTTACCTTTGTTCCTCAATTCTCCGAGTTTCTTCCCGATACTGACGCTCAAGCTCCAAGCTACAATTTTGTTTAAAAAATTAGTTGTTAAGAGCAAAATCGCTATCACAATCAAGACTTTATGGGGCACAGATATCAGGCAGCTCGTGAATAACTCAATCTGTTCATACTTGAGATATTAACACTGATGCAAGAATTTACTAAGTAACTCTTACTTTTTAACGAGAGCTTGAAGTTGATGCAAATGGTGAGAAGGGCAAAAGGGAGGTCTACTTTTTTTCTTCGAGATAGTTTTCTTAATCTCGTGAAAGTAATTGCCTTTAAAGTGGTGTCTTTAAATCAGTTCGAGAATATTCATGTGTTGTAAATATCAAATATCAAACCATAGATCATCTGATACTCACCCGGCATTATAGAACATGTAAGAAGGTTCTCTCTCTGGCTCTGAACTAAGGTCCGCTAAATTCTCCATCGACTCGTACTGCAAAGATCACGAAAACGATAAAAATAATTTCCTACTTCACCTTTTTTGAAAACTTTTAAACAACAAAACTACTCACGTATCGCTTTTTTCTCAATTTCGCAGCTTCCTGAGGATGGTTAAACCGCAACATGTTGGTCTTTCCAAGTAAAATTACATCTCCTGTGGAAACAAAAACAGACACAATGAATAAAACAATAATTCTCCCAGTCATCACTTGAGAAGATGTAAAGAGAACAGTACGGAGAATATAAAAACTGATGTTAAGGTGTGATGAGTTAACCCTTTAAACCCTAAGAGTGACTAGCATCAAACTTCTCCCTACAATATCAACCCTGTATCAGACGTTAGGGTCATGAGAGTAAAGGAAATGATCACCAACGCAAGAAGCTTCTGATTGGTACACAAATTCTCCTTGTCAGAACCTTACGAAATGTATAAAGAATCGGTAATGGGAAAATACAAACTGATGTTAGGGTGTGAAGAGTTAATACAAGTCGAGGAAGTGCAGAGTACACCTACCCTGACTGATCCGCTGTGACTTGCCCACAGGAAGCCCATTCACTTGGCACAGGGAGGCGATAGGATGAAGAATAACTGTTCCTTCAATACTTTCCATGATACAATGTTCAGCTTCAACACCAGGTCCTGATAACACTGATGAGCACAAGAGGGAGAGTTTTAATATCAATGTCTGTCAGAATGTTTATTGTTAACGTTGCTACATTTTCAAAACGTGTTCTCCTAAGTATGATCAATATTAAATTCTCAAAAACAAGACAAAAAAACTGTTAAGACTGAAGTGTGGACAGTTGTTCGAGAACAACAAATCAAGTTGATATGGTCATTGAAAGACTATCAACGATCTCTGAGCGTAATAAAAAAGAAAATTCTTCCATCTTGTGTTTCACAATTTCCATTCAACGGTTAGTTCTTGATGTTAACTCAAACAGTTGGGATCACCTCTCAGATGTGATTTTATACACTTTGTTTTTATTTTATCAACTCTCTTGAGGACTATGCATAAAGAACGAGCTTTCAGGATGAAAACAAACTCTAGCTCTGGCGATTTTCTCTTTCCATTCACACGCTTACAAGTTTCTTGCGTAACGAACTGCATCAAAAAAAAAATTTAAGTGGCGAAGGTCTTCCCATTCCGCAAGAGGACTGGGAAGGAGAAAATGTCCGTTACCAAATTCACTGCTCCCCTGGCTTCCGAAAACCGCCAGCTACGCAAATTGACTGATTAAAATCCAGACCAACCTATATCAGGATTAAAATTTGCATCCTCTCTTCCGATGTAAGTCATCCCATCCTATGAATTAAAGAATAAGAAAACAGACTGCTGAACTGGTACAAAGAAAACGACAACAAAATGCCGGCAATACATTTTTCTACTTATGTTTCTACATCTCCTTACTAAATGTATCAGTTCCTCTAGCCAACGTTTTAAATAAACTTGAAAATCTCCAGTTGATGTTAAAAGAGCTAACTGCACGCTGTTCCTTTAGGGGGCGGCAGGAATTAAGCTGTCTTCAATTAGGCATCGAAAGAAACCCGGGATTGACTTCTGTTTTGCTTTAATTCGCGCCGTAATTAAACTAAGAACTTGCGCCATCCATAAAACCAATCACATGCCCGACTTAACACTTTAACTTCCAAGATCTCATTAGTAATTCTTCTTACTGTCTGCCATACGGTTCTTGTGATGTTGGTTTGAAGAATTTGGTATTGGATCAACTTATAATCCCCTAACTGATATTTTCCTTTATTCTCATCACTTGTCTGCTTGATATTGTATTGATATTGTGAGGAGAAATTCTATCTTGGTCACTCGTGGAAGTTAGAGTTAAACCTCATTCTCACTGGTCCCTTCTAATATTTTTCTTTCTCCTGATTTGAAGTCGTGAACACTTTGATCTTGGTCTAACGACACTTCATAGAAAAGAGCCTTTTATAAGAATATTACACTTACCTTCAAATGGTAAAGTGTTACTCCTGTACTGAGAACGTCATCATCAATGCAGACCAAATGAGGAAGCTCTGACTCCATTTTGATACCAGCTCCCTCATATCTGAAGCCAAGTGCTCGCTCCTGTTTATAAAAAAAACAACAACAACGACAACCACTTCGTCAGTAATTCTTTCAAGATCTCCATAAGCTTGTTTACGGATCGAGCTACTTAAAGGACGAAAAAATTTGCGTCCCACTTGTTTCAGACTATTTACTTACCTCAATAATTTTTTGCGTTTCCCGCCATTTGCTGGTCCAGTTTTTAGTGAGTTCTTCGACTCGCGCCTCGTTCTCGTGCAGTCTCTCGGTCATTTGCGACTCCTCTGCCGCACCAAGCTCGCCAACTCCATCCTAACATCATAATAAAGAAACGATGAATCAAATATACTGTTACGAGTCCTTGTAGCTATTTGCTCGTCGTCGTCGTTTTCGTATTCGTGTCGTCGCCGTGTCGTACCGTAGTCGGGTCGTCATCACGTTGTCGTTTCGTCACCTTTCTTATCGTCGTCGGAGTAGGGAAACTGTCCGTTAAAAAGACTTGCCTTGTGAATGCATTTATCCTCCCAAACCCAATTTATTCATAATGTTAATTTCCTTGAGGGAATTTAAATATTTTGACAATCTTTGAGCCAAGCGCTTTGCATTAGAAAAAAAAAAGGAACAAAAAGAATAAACAACTGAAAACCTGGGACGATATAAGAGAAGAAATGCAGGACTGAAAAATCCTGACCTTGATTCATGTTTGTCACTTTTTACATTCCTTTTCCATCAACCACGAAAATTTCAAATAACTGTAATTTGGGCACACACAGTTTCCCAAACTCTCCAAGTAAGAACATTTCCGCTCAGCTACTACACAGCAATTAATTCCTGTTTGATATTTAACGAGGTTAGAAAAGTAAGAATCGTGATTTTCCACCTGACCACCAAATATGGCACATATCCTCTGTAGTTTGCATACCTGTCCGTGAGCCTGCAGGAGCACTTTGAGTCTGTCTATCTCAGCCCTTAATTCCCTGATCAGTCTCACGTTAGGGTCCTGAATGATAATGAACAAATATTTTAGACCACTTGGATCTATGTTTAAAACATTAAAATAAAAGCGCTACATAGAGTAAGTTATCTTTCTCCAGGAAAACTTCCGTAAAATAAAACCAAAACTGGCCTTTACATTTCGCTGTACGTGGACAACTAAAACATGTGCAGCTTGGAGGCGTAACCGTGGACTTAGCTGAGGGGGGTGGCCTAAGGAGTATGTGACTTCCCCTACCGCTAGTTTTAACACAGTTTACAATTTACACTAAGATGACATTTTGTTTTAGTTTTTTTCAAGACATAATAACATAACGGCAGATAAAACCCGGGCTAAAGACAAGGAGTGGGTGGGGGGGGGGAGGGGGGGGGAGAGCTGGGAAAGAAGTGGATAGAGATGGGTGGTGGGGTACAAAAGTGTATGGTATCTTGATATTTATCAGACAAATGTTATTACATGTATATGATAAAACAATCTGGCATACCCACACTAACCAGTAAAATGCTAGGGTGTGAAATCCCCCACCCCTACCCCCCAGACACACTGAAAATCCTGCCAACTCCACTCATAATCATTGATTCAGTTAAATAACAAACCTCATTGACTGTGGGTTTATTGATGATGTTCTTGGCTCTATTGGCGTAACGTAACGTGCTAAGAGTCTCTGAATAGTTCACATCCGCTGGTGATATGGCTATGAGGAAAGAGAAATTAATATTCATAACACTTAAACTCCCAGAAGTGATTAACATTTAGTTTCTCCCTCTGAAACCCATAAAATATTCAGTTAACTGGTAATGAGAATATTCAAACGCATCAAAGAGAAGTTGTTGCCTTAACTTAACACCACATTCTCTTGATTTATTCCCTACGAAATGTATTGCAGCTGGATGGGAGAACTAACAATAAGATTTTAGGAGTAAAAGGCATAAAAGCATCTTTGTTCTTCCTAAATCAAATGTTTAACAGCAAAGTGAAAATCAAACATCAGCAAACTTGTACCAGCAGTAATCATCAAAATAGATTTGCTCATAAAGCTTGTTTCTGACAAGAAACTTGACCAAAATTTACAAGCTTGTCTCTTTTGCCAAGTTAAACACTGGCATAACTGAAAAAAATATTAACCTGCTATCATGATTGTCTTGGCATTTCCTCCCAAACTGTCTTTCAGTAGCCATGTTAACACAGAGTTGCGGTAAGGGATGAACAGTTTCTTCTTAGGATCTTTACTGATGGAATTCTCACTTGCTTCAGCTACAAGAATAACACAAAACCCAGAACTTCCACTTAACAAAACAAATCATCACTTGATGGACAGAAGCACTGTTAAATGAAGGTATCTTGCCCAAGAAGTCAATACAACACCAGTAACCCAGGATAGTTATTACCTAATGCTGAGATAACAGTTCCCAATGTAACAAGAGATTTGTTGATGTTAGCTCCCTCTTTTAATCTGCTTCCTGTAGCACCAGTGGAGTTTGCTCTCTCACTGCAACAACAAAGTAACTATTAGGATTGATTGACTTAATCATCAGACATTGTTGTGCAGTTGTTCTGAATTTGATCAATGACAATAGAGATCAATAGACTAATGGTTTTTGTTGGTGTTTGTAGGATTAGGAGTGACTGCTTAGTTATGTCTGAGATATTACATCGTAATCACTTCAAAGAAGTTGTATATATTTTTATATTTTTAGATAAATTTATATATATTATTATTTATTAATATTACATATGTTATATTAATTTTGTTGTAACACAATCCCACAAGCCTCTAGCTTTAAATATTTATTGTGTTTAAATAAAGTTTTATTACTGTATTATTATTACTACTTTACTCAGTCAATCAAACAAGAAAGATTAGTTTTTCTATGACAAAAGACAAATTTATTACATAAAAAAGCATTTTTCCTTAACCTATTTACAAGGAAACAAGTAGCAAATGAGAAGGAGAATTATGGATTTGATCTCCACAGATACTAACCTGCCAGCCAAGTCAACTAAGTGGATTTTACTAACAGTTTCACTGGGCATGTCAGTATAGAACTTGGCCTGAAAGATAATTATAAAAACATATCCGTAATAAGGAAAATTTTATCTTAAGTAAATTAAAGCAAAGCACTAACATTGCTGATTCACAGAACTTTAATTCTAGACCTCAGGTATGTGCATCTTTCATTACTACCACATGAAACAGAAAATTATGACGTAATAAAATACATTACTACAAAATAATGTCAATGACTGTCGCCACTTCCAAGGATGAAATATGTACCTGTGGCTGATAACTGCAGCATCATATTTTAATCTACTGGGAATCAAACTAACAATTGATTTGTTTCCTTACCTGCGTGAATAAAATAGTGAAAATTGCATGTGATCTACTACTGACATCATTCATGTTTGTAGAGGCAACAGTCCTGCAATGTGAACAAGATTCAGGATCAACAAGTTCTCTGATCACACCAATAAATTGCCCTGTGCTGGTAACACCTTAATATCATCACTGAACAGAGCAGGCAATTACTTACAAGCATTTTGAGAAAAACCCCAGCAGTTTGGGTTTCCTTCCCTTTCTTACACAGGAAAAAATCTTTCATCCAAATTACATGGCAATTCATATTGTCCTAATGTTGAGCTTTATTTCATGTGTACAGTATGATGATGGTTACAAATTCCAAGATGTATAAAATTGAAAATCATCAACATAGTGGTTATTGTAGTAGTAGTTGTACAATCACCATTACCTGTTTGTGTTTCCTTCTTCCATCAGATTTTCTATTCCTTCATAATCTTTCACAACATGTTTTGTTAAATCTAAAATATCATAATAAATATATTTTTGAGCCAATGACTCTTTCAAAACGCGTGTGTGTACAACACCCACATAGAGTAAGCCTTCCATTGGATCAGTGTGTTCTGTCCTTAAGATAAGCCCTACATGTAACTCTTACACGTAGTGTCATAAGTATAGCACATAGAGTGAGCAAAAAATGTCCGAGATACTTGACATTATTCTAAGGGAGAACCTGTGATACTCAACCATCTCATTCTAAAGGATTAACAATACCCCCAATTGCTTCATGCTACTCACATAAGAATAAACTTTGGAAACATGTTGGTTTTTAAACCTGAGATCTTAGACACCAGCCTCCTAACTGACTGACATATAAACGTAGTAAAGAAAAACATTATTTTTCCTGTCACACAAGCACGATAGGTTAACAAACCAGTTTTACCACCATACTCATTACAGACATTTGGGTTTTTTCTGTAAAGTAAATTCAGTCCTTTAACATACCTTGTACATATGGACCTTCCTTTGGATGCTCTCTCACTTTGAGATTAAATTTCTCTCTTCCTTTAGCCGGTCGAAGGAGATCACCCACTCTTTCATTGTAAATCTCCAGGTAACTAACAAAGAAAATATTCATTAGACTTGATGAATGATATTTTCTCAAAAAATAACACAGAAGAATTGTAAGTTTGATGACCACAACAAAAACATGGAAACACTTACCTAACTTCAGTCCTAAATTCAGTCTTGTCATCGCCACTTGATTCCATGCGAGCGTACAGACCCTGTTAAATAAATTCATGTAATTTACACTTATAATTAATAATAATGATTAATTAATTAATAATTAATAATGGGTGAAGAATTAATCCCTTGCCTCAAATTAACATATAAATACGAGTAATAAATAATGAATTTAATAATTTGTCACAGATACCAAATATATCACCGAAAAATAAATAGCCATTTTAATGAAATACATACTGCATAAATTAAATAGGATATTAATTACTGGTAAATGACCATTCAATTTATAAGGATATGAAATCTAATTGTACCTCAATGTTAAAAAGCAGAGTTGAAGTACAGTTATTTTCAAATGTTTTTGAATTTTCAACTTATCAAAAATCTTAAGAGTACCTGACATATTCTTGGTATCAATCCTGGTGCAGTCTACAAAAAAATAATATTATCAAAAATCAATTGCCATAGTTCAATTAAACATTGATTTAACAATGACATCATTTAACTTTCACTTCCAAAGTCTCATTGGCAATTCTCTTCACTGTTTCCTATACAATAATTGTATAGAATGGAGAATTTGGTATTGGATCAACAAGCAAATCCCCTAATTGATATTTTCTTCATTGTCATCACTTGCCAACTTGATATTACATTGATATTCTAAGGAGAAATTCTGCCTTGGTCACCCATAAGGGTTTAAGAGTTAATATGTGGCTTATTATCTTTGTTAACCCTTTAACTCCAAAGATCTCATTGGTAATTCTCCTTATTGCCTGCCACATAGTTCTTGAGATGTTAGTTTGGAGAATTTGGTATTGGAATAACTAATAATCCTCTAACTGATATTTTTCTTTACTCTCATCACTTGTCTGCATGATATTGTACTGATATTGTAGTGATATTGTGCTGATATTGTAATGATATTGTCCTGATATTGTACTGATATTGTCCTGATATTGTAGGAGAAATTCTGACTTGGTCACTCATGGTAGTTAAAGGGTTAAGAGTATCAATGGACTAGTATCTGAGAAGCAGGTGTTTCAATCATGTCACAGCCTTACTTTTCAGGCTTTTTTTTCCGCTATTTCTTAAACTGCAGTTCACAAATGAGATAATTTTTTTGCCTACGCATAATTGTCATTTGCAAGTCAAAATGCAATTTTTTTAATTCACACGTGAATCTCTCACCAAAACTACTGAAAACTGTATGGAAACAACTCTGCCTGTAGCAGAATTTTTGACCTCCATGTTGCACAAAGTTAAAAAATCTACTTGAAGCATTTGTACATGTGAACAACAAGTTAAAGGAACTGCTCTATCATAAAAAAAGACATAGCAGTTTAAAAATGTTATACATGACACTAAACAATAAAAAACTGGCTCACCTTTAACATCTACCATGATAATGGCAGATTATTGTTATTACTTTGAACAGTAAATGGTTTGAACCAGAGAGTAACATTTTGTTATGTAGTCTGATCATTTGCATGAAAGTATATGCAATCTTAAGGACTATTGTCTGTACTAGAGACTAAGTTTTCAACAACCTTAGCCAAAAACAATAACAGAGCTACTCAGATAATGAGTTACTGAGGTTATCAAAACATCAGTCAAAATCACAAACAACAGTCCTTGTTGGATCAACTCTCACCTAGACAATCAGAATGCATAATGAAAGAGTGCTATTATGGACACCAAATTAATGATGGTCCCAGTGGTCTTCAATGTAAAAAAATAGTTAATTGTGTTTTGTTACCTCCTGTCCCATCATACTGTAAGATTTACCAGCCCCTGTCTGACCATAAGCAAAAATACAGGCATTGTAACCTTCAAACGCTGCCTGTATCACGTCTGTACCCAAATCTTCAAACACCTGAAGGAATAACAGAGTAAGTAAACTTCAAGCTTTTTTAAGATTTTTGTGACTAAGTTATGTAATATCTATCATATCACCAAAATACTTTACCCTTAAAATTTCAAACTTCTAAAGTTTTCAAAGAGCTAAATCCTCATAAAAACATCACGTAAAATGAACAAGTTGGTTGCTCCTCAATACTCATACTGGAAAGTTTACTTGTAAATTTAAGCAAATATTTCTATTTTAGCTATAATTAATACCTTGTTTCCAAAGATTTGGAGTGTGGACCATTAACAACTATTCTAACAACTATTCTATTGAAACAAATGTATTATCCAGTTAATCAAAAGTGTGGGTAAATATACTCTCAAGCTAAAACCACAAAATTCAATTCTGTCGCTTTGTACAGTACAGAAATAAACTCAATTTCACATTTAACTCTCTTGACTTCACTTTTTTTTTTTATTGAATTCTGTCTGTCTAGGAACTGTGTCACATAATCTAATTAATGCTGGTCATTTTAAAGAAGATACTAATAAAGTTCAGCTATACCACTTCTTTTTTGTTGGATCAATGTTTAACCTTATAAAACATTTATAATCAGATTTTACATTGACATTGTGAATTTCAGCTCACCAAATTTGTTTCTGTTGTTTAGCACACTGATATGGAAAGTAAGGAAGTCTGTTAGATTGAAATCCAAGTCTTGAGGTCTAAATTTAGTCGCAGTTTTCAATAAGTATAGTCAACAGCGACATACTCAATTATTTTTTTGTATCAAAGATATCAGATTTTAGAGAAAGAATGAATCGCCTTGATATGTACGTAAATATATTTACTCTTGGGTTTCTTTTTGATTATAAGTGAAAAATTATTACATTTTAACATATTTTAAACTGTATAAAATTCATCTTTTCTTTACTATTTATTTTATTTAAGTTCATTTACTGACTACTATAAATGTAAACCGTCAAGATACCCTTGGAAAAAAGAAAAACCATTCCTTCATTCTCTCTTAATTAATTTGACTTGCAAAACAGTAAGACATCCAAAAATCACACAAATAAAACTGAACAACCATAAAGTAATTTAGCGCAACAAACAACTGGAGGTCAAATATAAAAATGAACAACCACTTAGCTACGGTCTAACTTGAAAAGAAACTTCGAAAAGTTAACGATTTCATCGAAAATGTACGTGAATATCTTTCAATATTTCATTATGTATGCAGAATGACGTTCGAAGGACTTCGCACTTAAACTTCCTTCGGCCCGATCGGGTTCCAATTATATTATGAATTGGACGAATAGAATATTTTTACCTGTTCCTGTGAAGCGAAGTGACGGTCTGAACTATCTGCAGACCAGTAAGAGAAATCGTATGTAAAATCTTTGTCTTCGCTCTGAAATCAAAGAAGCTGAAATTCAATTTCTTCGTCGAATAATTTGGAACAACCACAACTGCAGTAAAATAACCTCCTACGTACAGCGACGAGAAAACATGAAATTTCACTTACACCAGGGTTTGTAATTGTCGTCTTCTTGCCTTCCATTTGGATACAAACTTTGGCATCCATGTCTCGCTCCCTGAAATTACCAACGGATACATTTTACAGATATTTAAACGCCAGACATCGATCACCGAGAATTTTCAACCGGCGTTCTGCTAGAACGGCCGAATCAATTGCTTCATTTTGACTTACCTTTTATTAAGGGGCCTCACTCTTACTGCTACCTTGACCGAGGCCATGTCGATTGTATTATTTCCTTTCCCTTAAGTCATTTCAAACATCTTGATCGTTATAAATCAAAGCCTGCAAAATACTGTGAACAATTTATTCCGAATCATTACTAATAACACAGTCTCGATCAGTCTCAATTTCTTCACACGCGAGCCTGCGCACACTCGACTGACCACTTTGATGTCATTCGATCCCAGATTACCTGACTGTTCTCCTTGGTAGAATGGTAACTAATCGGTCTAACACTACCGTGAATGAGTCGTGTTCAAATGACCACGAACATTGATATGTTGTAGTTTTTTCATGTTATTTCTTTTGTTCTTTTTTTCCCGTTGATCACATACCTGTGTGGATTTCGGTGACGCTGATAAATTTAGCTGCATTCTAAAAACTAACGCAGTAACTGGCTCACAAATAACCGATGGTTATATTTCAAACAAAAAAAAAACATTGTAAAAAAATTAACTGACAGCATTTTAATCTTGTATCGTTGACATGACTGATCATCAGGTAAGTTCTCTTCACAGTTTTGATACACCGTTATTCAGACTACCAATGAGATTTTAAGGTTTAGAGGTACGAAACTATGTCCGCGTGCGAAAATAGCTAGTTGAAATATGTCTTGTTTTTCACTGGCATAAAATTTTGATGAAACGTTAGATTCCGACAAACTTCTCTTCGAAGACAACACCAGTTTAAGCATTCCTACTGATCAAAATAGTTAGCTGCATTCTAAAAGCTAACGCACTAACTGGCTCACAAATAACCGATGGTTATATTTCAAACAAAAAAAAAGCATTGTAAAAAAATTAACTGACAGCATTTTAATCTTGTATCGAATACTAATCATTTTTTTGTTTTCCCATTTATCTGTTTTCAGGTTATTCTATCACACAGCCCAAAAACTTGAAGGCATCATCTTTGTCGAGAAAGCGTCTTCTGAAAGTAAGTATTGATAATTAATAATGCCATCGACTCGTCAATTATTGTAAGTCGCTGACGGAAATGACCATCCATGTACACGACGAATCGGTTGGAATTGCCCTTTTTAGAGGCATCGAAGACGACACCTGTTTAGTCGTTCCTACTGGTCAAAATAATACAGGGGTTTTAACAAGTATTTCGAAAAGTTTAGTAGATGGTTGAAAAAAAAACAGTGCTTTAACACCCTACATAAATAGATCATTCAACGTTTTACAGGCATTTCTGACGTTATTTCTCATTTTCGACTTAGCCAAACCAGTAAATCGCGTTAGAAAATGAAACTTGTCTCTCGTCAAAGTCTTTAAATAACATCTCTGGTATTCAAGGAAGTTTTATGCCTCGTCACGATTATTTGCAAACAAATATCTACTTGATATCGACATTTGACTTGATCGGCTGATCTTGGTTTTGGCGTTTACTTTTTGGCTTGAGGTAAGTTGGCAATAATTGTTTTTCAATGTTTTACTTGTCATCAACAGTTTTTGACAAAATAAGACTTTCTTCACAAATTATGGAATGTGTAAATGAAACCGGGTGGTGGCTTCGTTCGTGGAACATATCAACATTTTGAGAAATCCTTGTTCCTATACTAATCATTTTTTGTTTTCTAATTTATCTGTTTTCAGGTTATTCTATCACAGAACCCAAAAACTTGAAAGCATCTTCTTTGTCGTAAAAGCGTCTCCTTAAAGTAAGTGCTGATAATTAATAGTGCCACACTCATCGACACGTCAATTATTGTAAGTTGCTGACGGAAACGACCATCCATGTAAGAGAGAAATCGGTTGGAATTTCCCTTTTTTAGGGGCATCGAAGACGACAACTGTTTTATCATTCCTACTTATCAAAATAAAACGGGGGTTTTAACAAGTATTTCGAAAAGTTTAGTAGATGGTTGAAAAAAAAAACAGTGCTTAAACACCCTACATAAATAGATCATTCAACGTTTTTCAGGCATTTCTGACGTTATTTCTCATTTTCGACTTAGCCAAACCAGTAAATCGCGTTAGAAAATGAAACTTGTCACTCGTCAAAGTTTTCAAATAACATCTCTGGTATTCAAGGAAGTTTTATGCCTCGTCACGATTATTTGCAAACAAACATCTACTTGATATCGACATTTGACTTGATCGGCTGATCTTGGTTTTGGCGTTTACTTTTGGGCTTGAGGTTAGCTGGCAATAATTGTTTTTCAATGTTTTACTTGTCATCAACAGTTTTTCGCAAAATTATTCTTTCTTCACAAATTATGGAATGTGTAAATGAAACCGGGTGGTGGCTTCGTTCGTGGAACATATCAACATTTTGAGAAATCCTTGTTCCTATACTAATCATTTTTTGTTTTCCAATTTATCTGTTTTCAGGTTATTCTATCACACAGCCCATAAACTTGAAGGCATCATCTTTGTCGAACAAGCGTCTCCTGAAAGTAAGTACTAGTAATTAATCTTGCCACACTGATCGACACGTCAATTACTGTTGTTGATGGTAACTACCATCCATGTAAGAAAGGAATCGGTTGGAATTGCCCTTTTTAGAGGCATTTTCAATTGTAATCTCAAAAACTATATGAATAAAATTATATTCATTCTGTGAATGATATTTGAAGAATTGATCAGCACACTAAAGTAGATTGTGAGCCAAAAAAAATTGAAACCTGCATGGAAACTAACTTGGAAATAGCGCCTAACGTAATCTAGCAGGCACGCATTCAAACCTAGTTGGAGCGTGAAATTTTCAAGTCTCATGACCAGTTCTACAATGATAGCAAATATCACCTTTAGCAATTATCATTCGTGAGATTGAGGGCAGTCGATGTTGTCATCAAACGTTACTTCTCGAGAAGGAAAATTTCAGTTTCTCAGAGGCACATGACAAACGATCGAAGACCATGTGAAAACAAATATAAACCGCTGTTTTCTTAACTCGTCGTGAGTAACCTTTAAGAAATCGGCTTTGATAAAAAAAATACACCTTTAGACTGATAATTTTCTTCCTTCCTCACACCTGATAGATTCAGTCATCGTGAGAACTTTTGTGCGAATTTGTTAAATGCGTCTAAAGAACTTATTTCAATTTTTTGATAGACACGTTTCCGACTGAAACTGAATTGATGTAACCCCACTATCAACCTTAACATTACATTCATTCTCTAGCTATCTTCTGAACGATTAGACACTGATGTGAGTGGTTTAACTTAAAAGTAACAAGAAAAATCCACTATGTGATGACAGATGTAGAATAAGCGAAACGTTCAATTAATGCACGAGGCGTTGCCGAATGTAGCATGAAGAATTTTGAGTTAATTCTACACCCAAGGAGTGTTCATGTTTGTCAATAAATCACGAACTAGAGACTGTAAACCAATATGACACTCAAAGTTAGTGTTTTGTATTGACAAAAAAAAGATCTCGAGGGAGCAATGGAAGCGGTGGCAGTTAAAAGCAAAAATATGAGTAATTGTTAAATGGACAAACAATAATTTACCAAGAAATAAGACCTCGTGACTAGGTGAATTGGCAGTAAAAGACCAAATGAGACGAATCTGATTCAGTGGATCAATCACTCAGGGATCATTAGTTTGGTGGACCTTATGTGGCTGGTGGTTGGTGAAAAGTTTTCTTCACAGCTGTGCTTGGGCTCGTCATGCAAGTAAGAAAATACGGTGTTGCGTGACAAACCTAGACGAAAGCTGTGAAGAAGACAAGCCGGATATATTTTCGATTAGGAGAATATCACTCAAGAATAAAACGATCACAAAAGACATCGTTACATAGTTTCATAGGGAATTTTTAATGGTGTCCCTCTGTGCACGATCATGACTTCCTGTGGTCAGAAGCGAACATTTCCACTATAGCTATAGAAAAAACACCTGGCTTTGTTGCTGCAAAAGAATACAAATTTAGCATAAAAAAAGTCAGCTCATATTTTCCAGTGTTTAGACCGTAAGTTGGTGTGTATATTATTGTTGTACAGGAACCGTAAAGGAGCCGTACATCCGGTGAGATGTAAACTACCAGCAATCATGGCGGAGGGTTCAAGCAAAGCTTTGGATGACGTCACACCACCCGCTGAAGAAAAAGAAGAAGAAGAAGAAGAAGAAGAAATAGTAACTCTTGATTTTGATGACGACACTTTGACAGGTGAGCTTAGTGCGGCTTTCTTTTCAAGACGAGTCTTCGTAATCATGTTTCCTGTGTTATAACCCACGTACGTTTTACTTGATTTGTTTTCTTTAGCTTTTTTCCTTCTCTTTGAAGTTATTTCGGGTAAGATTTCTTTCTGTGATGCGGGCACTTCGTAATGAAAACAGTCTGAAGTGACGAGATTTGTTATTTCGCAATATTTTCTGCAGGAGGTTCTACCACTTCATATACCAGAGCCCTTTTGAAAGACAGTTTGTGAAGATAAAGGAGATAAACTTATTTTATCCCCTTTTGTTTTCAAATACCTTGGCCACAATCGATGGTAGTTTTCAATTTAATAAATGTTGCTAAAATTGTTTTGTTTCAGCGATAGTTGAAGTTTACAAGAATGAAGGTAACGAGGTTTGCTTAAAAGGAGATTTTCTCAACGCCTCTCACTTTTACACGGAAGGAATTAAAGTGAAATGCGGAAACAAAGAATTGAAGGCCAAACTGTACAACAACAGGGCGACAGTACATTTCAAATTAGGTGAGAATTATGAAGACATTAATCATTTTAGCGTACTTCGTTTCTCCACTTGGCAGTTGGCCTCACTGAATCCGTGAGGTACCTCATGTAGGCATGTTTGTGTTTAGAATCTGTTCACGGCATCTTTATCTGGTAATACTCCCATGGAACTTGAGTCAGATTTCGTTGTCCTCACCACCGCTGATATTTATAATCTTTTCTCTGCTTAACATTTCTATTGTTTTTTCGCTTTTTCTTGCCGACTCAGATACCCAGATCGACTACACAATACTCAAAGCAACATAATTTCCACTCAAATAAACCGATCATTTGAGTTTTGGAAACGAATTTTTGGAAGAGTATAGCACATGTTTGTGACACATTGTGTTTCTTAGATTTCCCAGATATAATTCCTTCTCTGTGTGAAATATTCCGTCGCTTATAAAATCAGCCGTTTAATACGATTACCGACCTACGCCCTTTTTTCTTCTTTATGTTCAGTTTTTTATAACTACAGTCAAAGCTGTAATCAGCGGTCACCCACAGAGAATGGCGGATGACCGCTTAACACAGCCTCCAAAGAATGGGGGGTGATATAAAAAACGATAAAAAATACCATTTTATGCCATAATTTACCATTTAATGTACAAAAACTCGCTCAAAAATACCACCAAAATTGATATACAGATATACAGATTTAAGTTTACTTGAAAGATTATTCTTAGTTTTATTTGAGTAGAACTTTGAGTGGAACTTTTCGCTTAAAGTGACCGCTCGGTTTCTGCAGGTGGAAGACAATGAGGAAAGGTCGTTGGGTCTAACTCAAAAGTGACCACGACTACTTAACCCTTTAACTCCCATGAGTGACCAAGACAGAATTTCTCCTTACAATGTCAATACAATATCAAGCAGACAAGTGATGAGAATGAAGAAAATATCAGTTAGGGTATTATTGTAATTGGTTGATCCAATACCAGATGCTCAGAACTAACATCACAAGAACTATATGGCAGACAGTAAGGAGAATTACTAATGAGATCTTGGGAGTTAAAGTGTTACTAAGGGGGAATTAGAGGACTTTGACATCCGACCCCTAACAGGGTGACCGCTTACGGTGTCGCTTAATACAGGTTCGACTGGACGTTCTGCTATCAGAGTACAATTCTCTTGTAGGCAACTACCAGGAGTCACTGAGAGATGCAACAGCTGCCTATCGATTGCAACCAACATATCTGAAGGCAATTATTAGAGGTATTTTTTTTTCTTATTTTTTGAGCGGAAAACTACCTCGCACTCCACGGTCTGGACTGCACGTTACTGAGTGGGGTCTCACATGACTGGTGAAAGTGGCATTATACGCTGTTTTTTTGGCAGATACTTTTACTCTGTATCTCGAAGTTTCGATTTCAGAGCAAGAAAGTGAAATGAGAAGATTTTAAAACTAAGACTGCTAAGATCTCATTACCAGTCCTCTCCCAAAAGTCGAGAGTACCACGCCCATAGGCACCCTTCTGCTATGATTGACAGCTCACTGATACTCATCTTTCGAAGCAAAGTGCTTAGGATACATTTTTATTTTTTACAGAGAATTAAGGGAATCACCGTAACGTTTACTTAAATTTTTACAAACATCGCACAACTCTTTCACAATTTGATAAGTTTCCAAAAACCAACGAGGAGAAAAATTACAACAATTTATTTTTTACCTCGGCAAAGGAAAACTGTTTTAGAAAAACCTCTTCCGCATAGATACGATCTAATAATGTTAGCTGTGTTATTTTGAATAGGAGCAAACGCCACTCTTGAGCTGAATAAGCCTGAAGAAGCTCTCAGATGGAGTGTTCAAGGATTAGCAGTATCCTTTTGACAAATCTAAAATACAAAGAACTTGATCTCTCTTAGTATGTCAACTATGTAAGTTAAAATCGTCAGTGTTCAGAATTGTGGCACATAAACACCATTTGGAAGCCTATCGGAATATTGAAAGCATCTTGCTTCTTCAACAAGTGTTCAAATGAAAAAGGCTTTCCAAGCTTACGGAATAAACTTTAATTTTTTTTGTTTTTCTTTTTTACCGATTACATAGAAAACAAGAAATCTGAGAGCCTTATTTCCTGACCGGTAGAGCTTCCGCTGTTTAAAAAGACTGTTATTAAGAATTTGCGGATCCCCAATACAGTTCTATAGCAGTATAGTTATCTTTGGCATTATTTTTGCATCTTTAACTGCGGATGTGTGAAGATTGAAAGGAACGATACCCTGCGGCGACTGAGAGACAGGTCTTTCCACGAATGTTTAAAGTCCGGCGATGTAAGTCTATGGTCTAGTAAATTTTTTCGCATACTTCTTCTTAGCATCATGTTAAATGTAACATCAGTGCACTAGATGTTGGGGTGTTAGTGGTAATGACATTGAAGACAATGTCAGTGAGAAGAAATATCAAAGAGAAAAAGATCAGTCGTGCATTGCTGATGATTAATAATACTACAGTCAAACGTGTATTAAGCGGTCACCCACGGGAATGGTGACCGCTTAATACAGGTTCCAAAGAATAGGGGGTGATCAAGAGTTCTGTTTGTCGACTTAAACCTCCACAACGAGACTTTTTATTTATTACCACATTTCGAGACAAACAAACATTACAACCGAAACAATTACGCAATTTCTTCGCTTTTGTCTTTACACTTTTGAAACCTAAGATGAAGAAAGCAATTGAGATCATAAAGCAAGACCTCCACAATGCAAAAGAACTAGGAGACAGCGCAGACGAGGGAAGTACCTGCCACCATCTTGGCTTCGTTTATCAGAAGCTGGGTGATTTCAGTCAAGCCATAAAGTACCACAAACAACATCTCAGTATTGCTAAACAACTGGGAAACAGGGACGACGAGGGAAGTGCCTACAACAATCTTGGCTTCGCTTATCACAAGATGGGTGATTTCAATCAAGCCATAGAGTACCACAAACAACATCTTAGTATTGTCAAAGAACTAGGAGACAGCGCAGGCGAGGGAAGTGCCTACGGCAATCTTGGCTCCGCCTATCAAGAGATGGGTGATTTCAATCAAGCCCTAGAGAACTGTAAACATCATCTTAGTATTGCCAAAGAACTGGGAGACAGGGCAGGCGAGGGAAGTGCTTACAACAATCTTGGCTTGGCTACTTATGAGCTGGGCGACTTCAATCAAGCCATAGAGTACTTTAGGCGACATCTTAATATTGCTAAAGAACTGGGAGGCAGGGCAGGCGAGAAAACTGCCGACCACAATCTTGGCTCAGCTTATCACAAGATGGGTGATTTCAATCAAGCCATAGAGTACTACAAACAACATCTTAGTATTGCTAAAGAACTAGGAGACAGGGCAAGCGAGGGACGTGCGTACAACAATCTTGGCTTCGCTACTTATGAGCTGGGCGACTTCAATCAAGCCATAGAGTACTTTAGGCGACATCTTAATATTGCTAAAGAACTGGGAGGCAGGGCAGACGAGGGAACTGCCGACCACAATCTTGGCTCAGTTTATCACAAGACGGGTGATTTCAATCAAGCCATAGAGTACCACAAACAACATCTTAGTATTGCTAAAGAACTAGGAGACAGGGCAAGCGAGGGAAGTGCGTACAACAATCTTGGCTTCGCTACTTATGAGCTGGGCGACTTCAATCAAGCCATAGAGTACTACAAACACCATCTCAGTATTGCTAAGGAACTGGGAGATAGGGCAGACGAGTACCATGCCTACCACAATCTTGGCTCGGCTTATGACAAGTTGGGTGATTTCAATCAAGCCATAGAGTACCACAAACAACATCTTAGTATTACTAAACAACTGGGAGACAAAGCAGGCGAGAGACGTGCCTACAACCATCTTGTCTCGACTAGTTACGAGTTGGGTGACCTCAATCAAGCCATAGAGTATCTCAGGGAACATCTTAACATTGCTAAACAACTGAGAGACAGGGCAGACGAAGGACGTACCTGCCACAATCTTGGCTCCGTTTATCAGAAGCTGGGTGATTTCAGTCAAGCCATAAAGTACCACAAACAACATCTCAGTATTGCTAAACAACTGGGAAACAGGGAAGGCGAGGGACGTGCCTACAACAATCTTAGTATTGCTAAAGAACTGGGAGACAGGGCAGGCGAGGGAAGTGCCTACAACAATCTTGGCTCAGCTTATCACAAGATGGGTGATTTCAATCAAGCCATAGAGTACCACAAACAACATCTTAGTATTGCTAAAGAACTGGGAGACAGGGCAAGCGAGGGAAAAGTGTACAACAATCTTGGCTGCGCTTATTACAATATGGGTGATTTCACTCAAGCCATAGAGTACCACAAACAACATCTTAGTATTGCTAAAGAACTGGGAGACAGGGCAGGCGAGGGAAGTGCCTACAGCAATCTTGGCTCGACTACTTATGAGCTGGGCGACTTCAATCAAGCCATAGAGTACCTCAGACAACATCTTAATATTGCTAAAGAACTGGGAGACAGGGCAGGCGAGGGAATTGCCGACCACAATCTTGGCTCAGCTTATCACAAGATGGGTAATTTCAATCAAGCCATAGAGTACCACAAACAACATCTTAGTATTGCTAAGGAACTGGGAGACAGGGCAGGCGAGGGAAGTGCCTACAACAATCTTGGCTTGGCTACTTATGAGCTGGGCGACTTCAATCAAGCCATAGAGTACCTCAGGCAACATCTTAATATTGCTAAAGAACTGGGAGACAGGGCAGGCGAGGGAAGTACCTACTACTATCTTGGCTCGGCTTATGACGAACTGGGTGATTTCAATCAGGCCATAACGTACCACAAACACCATCTCAGTATTGCTAAGGAACTGGGAGATAGGGCAGACGAGTACCATGCCTACCACAATCTTGGCTCGGCTTATGACAAGTTGGGTGATTTCAATCAAGCCATAGAGTACCACAAACAACATCTTAGTATTGCTAAAGAACTGCGAGACAAAGCAGGCGAGGAACGTGCCTACCAGCATCTTGCCTCGGCTAGTTATAAGCTGGGTGACTTCAATAAAGCCATAGAGTACCTCAGGCAACATCTTAATATTGCTAAACAACTGGGAGACAGGGCAGACGAGGGACGTACCTACCACAATCTTAGCTCGGCTTATGAGAAGCTGGGTGATTTCAATCAAGCCATAGAGTACCACAAACAACATCTTAGTATTGCTAAACAACTGGGAGACAGGGCAGGCGAGGGAATTGCCTACAACTATCTTGGTTCGGCTTATTACAAGCTGGGTGATTTCAATCGAGCCATAGAGTACCACAACCAACATCTTAGTATTGCTAAACAACTGGGAGACAGGGCAGGCGAGGGAAGTGCCTACAACAATCTTGGCTCGGCTTATCACGAGCTGGGTGATTTCAATCAAGCCATAGAGTACCACAACCAACATCTTAGTATTACTAAACAACTGGGAGACAGGGCAGGCGAGGGAAGTGCCTACAACAATCTTGGCTCGGCTTATCACGGGCTGGGTGATTTCAATCAAGCCATAGAGTACCACAAACAACATCTTAGTATTGCTAAACAACTGGGAGACAGGGCAAGCGAGGGAAGTGCCTACAACAATCTTGGCTCAGCTTATCACGAGATGGGTGATTTCAATCAAGCCATAGAGTACCACAAACAACATCTTAGTATTGCTAGGGAATTGGGAGACAGGGCAGGCGAGGGAAGTGCCTACAACAATCTTGGCTTCACTTATCACAAGATGGGTGAATTCAGTCAATGCGTTTATCAGAAGCTGGGCGACTTCAATCAAGCCGTAGAGTATCACAGGCAACATCTTAATATTGCTAAAGAACTGGGAGACAGGGCAGGCGAGGGAAGTGCCGACCACAATCTTGGCTCAGCTTATCACAAGATGGGTGATTTCAATCAAGCCATAGAGTACCACAAACAACATCATAGTATTGCTAAAGAACTAGGAAACAGGGCAGGCGAGGGAAGTGCGTACAACAATCTTGGCTCAGCTTATCACGAGATGGATGACTTCAACCAAGCCATAGAGTACCACAAACAACATCTTAGTATTGCCAAAGAACTAGGAGACAGGGCAGGCGAGGGAAGTGCCTACGGCAATCTTGGCTCCGCCTATCAAGAGATGGGTGATTTCAATCAAGCCCTAGAGAACTGTAAACATCATCTTAGTATTGCCAAAGAACTGGGAGACAGGGCAGGAGAGATAAGTGCCTACAACCAACTTTTCTTTGCTAGTTGTGAGCTGGGTGAGCTCAATCAAGCCATAGAGTATCTCAGGAAAAGTCTTAATATTGTTAGAGAGCTGGGAGATAAGGTACACGAGGGAGTGGTCTATAACAATCTTAGCTCGGCTTATCTGAAGCTGGGTGATTTCAATCGAGCCATAGAGTACCTCAGGCAACATCTTAGTACTGCTAAAGAAGCGGAAGACAGGACAGAGGAGGAGTGTGCCTTTGGCCTGCTTGGTGAGGCTTATCACGACTTGGGTGATTTTAATCATGCCATAGAGAACGCCAACAAATGTCTACGTATTGCTAGAAAACCGTTAGTAAGGTCAAAAGCCTTTAAAGTTGTTGGTAAAAGTTATATGTCAATGGGTAAATTGTTTCGAGCCATGCAGTTTTTCCAGGATTACCTTGGTATCGCTAAACGCAAAGGAGACAGAGAAGGCGAGGCTGAAGCCTATGTCCTTATTGGAACTGTTAATGCTCGATCGGATGATTTTAACAAGGCAACAGAGTATCTTGAGAAAGCGCTTAGCATGGCCAAAGAACTGAGAGACCAGGAAATCGAGGCAATGATCTACGCCAGTTTTGGGGAAGTTCTTCGTAAACAGGGTGACTTTGAACGAGCCATCGAGTACAACAAGAAATGTCTTAATATGGTTCAGAAATCGGGGCAGAGAATAATCGTGGGAAATTGTTTAGCCAATTTAGGTCGTACTTATGAAAGCTCTGGAGACTTGCATCAAGCGGTTGATTATTATCAACGCAGTACTAAACTTTTCAATGAGTTGAGAGTTCTGCAAGTTGACGATGCGTTGAAAGTAATCTTCCGCAATGCACGTCAAGACATTTATCAGTCACTCTGCAGAACTTTGCTTAAGCTGTCAAAATTCGACGAGGCATTGTGTGCTGCGGACCAAGGACGAGCCGAGGCCTTGTTGGATCTCATCAAACTACGATATGGATCGCAAGTGGCAGTTTCTGGATCAGTTGAGGCTAAACCAGGGATCTCCGAAATGGTCACTAATATCTCTGGTCCGACGCTTTTTGTTGCACTATTAGGAAACGCAGTTAACCTGTGGGTAATCGGGAAAAACAGGAATGTACAGTTTACAAAGAAAGAAGTGAAATATCTCCTTGGAGATGCGACCGACTATTTGAATTGCTTAAGGAAGAAGGCTTACAAGGAAATTCGAGGAAGATTCAGGGTCATCTGCGAAAACCGCACATTAGACGGGTCAAGTACCGAACAAGAATTGCCACCCGCCGAGGAAAGAGGTGAGGAAACAGGAAACCCATTACAGTCTGACGAGAATCCTCTGCGTCTCTTTCATGAGTGCATCATAACTCCTATTTCAGATTTGATCGAAGATGGCGAGTTGGTTGTCGTTCCTGATGGTCCACTGTGCCTCGCCCCTTTTGCCGCATTTTTGGATTCCGAATCAAAGTACCTCAGTGAGTCCATGAGGATACGCATTCTTCCGTCATTGATGTGTATGAAACTGATCAACGCTTCTCCCAAAGAATATCACAACAAGAGTGGGGCGTTGCTCGTAGGAGATCCATGTCTAGAGGACTTTACCACCTTGCTCGGAGAGAATAAATATTCGCCCTTGGCTTTCGCCAAAAAGGAAGTGGAGATGATCGGAGCGATGCTCGGTATCCACCCACTCACAGGAAAAGAGGCAACCAAGGCTGAGGTGCTTAAGAGAATCGGTTCGGTTGCTTTGGTGCACATTGCTGCGCACGGAAAAATCGAGACTGGGGAAATTGCATTGGCTCCAAATCCAGAACGAAAATACGTCAGACCAGAAGAACAAGATTTCAGGCTAACAATTTCCGATGTGCAAGCAGCGAAGTTACGTGCAAAGCTTGTTGTGTTAAGTTGTTGTCACAGTGCCCAAGGCGAGGTGTCAAGTGAGGGTGTGGTCGGCATTGCACGGGCTTTCATTGGTGCTGGTACTCGTTCTGTTCTGGTCGCGCTCTGGTCAATTGATGACGAGGCTACCATGGAGTTTATGAGAAGCTTTTACCAACATCTGAAGGATGGAAACAGCGCCAGCGTGTCACTCAACCGGGCGATGAAATGTCTGCGAGAATCAGAAGACTTTAATGCCCCGCGGTTCTGGGCTCCGTTTGTACTCATTGGTGATGACGTCACAATCGATTTTAAAGAAATCAACAATGAATCGTGAGTAGAAATTTATAAATAGGACTTCAATAATTCCACCTTCATGTGAAATACTTCTACTAAACTGAGCAAGAAGGTCTACTATAACCCTTTCAAAGAATGGTGGTCACGAGACATTTTGGCTCTAATAAGTTGATGTAGAAGACACCGTTGACGTAAAACATTACAGTACACACATAAAAGAACGAAAAAAAACGAAACGATGAAAACAACAAATTAATGAGAAGGAGCACGCATTTAAAAGTAAACTAAATTTCGTTAATCGAGTTATCAGATGTGCTCTGCTCGTGCATTCTCAGCGTAAAAGAAAAAAAGTTTAAAGACAAACGAGGGAGCTAGCATTAACTTCACACTTGGTTCCAAGTGATTTTTTCAGCTCAATGACAGTAATCTCCTTTTAATTTCAGATCACAAGAAGAACAAGTATCACTGGCGGAAGTTAAGGATCAAGAAAAACTGGAACAGGCGCCATAAAATGAACCTTTAACGTCCAAGCCACCGATGAAAACCAGTGGAGTAAGTTCTCGTAACGAGGACATTGTGAGAAGGCTTAATAATCTGTGAACTTTACTCGTGGGTAACTTAACTGGGTCAATTCCTTTAAGTCTAATTGAATTGAAAATAGGATCGCTTAATGAATTGAAACGAAGCCCTGATTTTTCCAGTTGCAAATTCAGTCTTCAGCTTCTAGTGCTTCGCTTTTGTTTAAGCAGAGAATAAGGCATATTTTTAATAAGAAAATCTCTATGAGTTTTGATCAATATAATTTGTGATACTTTTTAATTTTTCTAATGGAAATAGACCCATGTTACAAACTCGCGATCCGCGATTAACTCTCCCCGCACAAAATACCCGTGACCCGCGAAGATTGTGGTTCACTTCTTAGCGAGTTTCCTGAGTATGTCTCTACTTTAACCTTAAGTATTAAACAAATTTACATATTTAAAAGTTTCAATCGAAGAAAATTACCGAGTAAGGCAAAAACAAAACTAGGTATCATCGATAATAAGCTGAAATGAAAGCAAGAGTTTCTGCAAGTTTGCAGACTTTTTAAAATATTTTTAACCTTTTCCTTCTGATTCTTTCCCACGTGGGAAATTATGATGATTGTTTACACAGCAACATTTTTTACAACAAAGTTTTGCCAATACACATATTCTACAGTTATCAGTTTCCCCTTTGAAAAGATTTAGGTTATCTAGGCAAGGAGATGTGTAGTTTTAAGTGACTGCCGTAAAAAAGCCAAACAAAGTTTTAGTCAAAAGGAAACAGTCCGAGTCAATAGGAAAAACTAGTGTGGTGAATTTATTTGTTTTCTACTCATATCTTAAGCCTGGCAGATTGAGATGAAGTACTTTTTTTATCACTTATATTTAAAAACCATTATATATTAATAAATAGATGATGATAACAATCACATGATAAATTTGTCCGCAATAATTTATCTTTCAGAGACTTGCTGAGCAGGAGGCTGTCACTGTTGTAGTATAATTACTCTTTGTCTTTGATATTTAACCCTTTCCACCCTAACATCAGTATGGATATTCTCCATACTGATCTCGATACATTTCCTCAGGCAGCAATAAGGAGAATTTATCTAAGAATCAAGTGAGCTTCTTAACTTGGTGATCATTTCCTTTTATTCTAGTGACCTAACTTTTTGATTCAGGGGTGGTATTGTGAGGAGAAACTGGATGCTGGTCACTCTTAGGAGTCAAAGATGTTAACTGAACACCTGAAACAGGCTCTGTGAGGATTATTTTTATTTTGGTTTGCATGACTCAAGCCTGAAATTCTGATCAAAACATGATTTTTAAGACATGAGTATTCAAAAATTAACATTTTCTTCAAAGTGAGTGTCGACAAAATCTGAGTTTCATTTCTTTTAAGTTATATATGGCCTTTGCCTTTGCCTTTGCCTTTGCCTTTGCCTTTGCCTTTGCCCTCCCCCTGACATCCTCTGTGTCCATTTTAACCCAGTGATTCCCTGACTGCAGTGATTATGATGGTGATCATATTCTACCATGACCATCAGGTGTGCTGTATTTGACATCCCACATCCAAGGAGATTCTGTTTTGACAAAACACAAACATGACATGAAATACCAGACTTTCATAGATGAACCACTAATTTTAAGTACCTGACTGCATGTGCCCAGGTGTCACCTGGTTTTCAGGGGGAAAGGAGAGGAGATCTGCCGTCACCAACAGAGTATTAAGGCTTGACCATAAAAAAACTGACTGCCAATCAACCCTTTAATACCCAGATCAAATTTGTAATTCTCCTTACTGTCAACCATACAGTTCTTATCATGTTAGTTCAGAGAATTTAGTATTGAATCAACTAATTATCCCCAAATTGATATATTTCTTTATTCTCACCACTCGTCTGCTTGATATTGTATTGATATTGTAAGGAGAAATTCTGTTTTGGTCACTCATGGGAGTTACAGAGCCTTGTTGGGGATCAGGTAAATTTTATTGTGACACAAGAAAAATCCTCTGACCCACCATGCCCCCCCTGACAACCCCCCCCCCCAAAGCCTGCTGAGGATAAATAATGACCAGTCCCACAACCGTAAATTTTCATAATGAGGAAAATTGCTGCAAATTATCCACACTCAAAAAATAACCAGGAAGAACTTTTACTTCAAACAAATTTGGAAATTCATGATGTGAACTGAAAAGAGGATACCTTTATACTAAATTGCCTGAACACAAGCAAGGAATCTTACCATCTTTGGTGTATGGCAAAGGTGGGACATCAAATGAAAACTGTACACTGTAATTTGACAATTTTTCATTACTTTCCTGTTTTCCTTTCACATGCTTTCAGGATCCTGTTGATAAAATTACAGTTCACTACTAAGTCATAGATGGAATCTGGATCAAAAAGGGTACAGTCACAGGAAAGAATTTTCTTACTCTCATCCAACTGAAACACTGGGGATATAATTTAAAAAAATACCTGGTCTTTGGGTAGAAACAAAACTCCAATCTCATATGAGCAAATCAAAAGTTGTTTCAACCATTTTTTCCAAAGTCCCCTGGGCTGCTTTAGACAAATTTGCACTGAAAACAATTAAATGTAAATGGGGAAGAGAAAAAAATGTAAAAACTTTGCATAGATGTTAAGACAACATCAGCCATTTATTAAGACTCCAACAACCTTTCATTTTCAAAACATTGTTTTTTCAAAATAATTGGCTTGACATTTTGATTTGGCCAATCAGATATAGCCCAAAGACAGATGGGGGAAATCCAAAGTTTCTGCTCATTCTAGCCAAATTAGAAAGACTACAAACACCACACAGGTATACCCAGGGGGATTCCAAAGGAAAGCAGACAATATTCAGACTCTTTTAATTATATCAGTCATGCCCAAGACAACAGTGACAAACCTGAAAAGATTCTGACTGTTATACTGAAATAATTTTTTGAACAAACTTTAAACAGCCCCAAACATAATGAAGCGTGGAAGTTCCAACTTCGAAAATTTCTAGAGCAGCATAACTTAATAAAGATAAATTGCAGAGAGGACTCAGTTTTTATAACCTTGTCACAAGAAACCAGCTCATGCGGCTCCAATCTGGGGATACCCTGGTGTATGTTTTAATGTGAGGAGAGGTGCAACTTCTACCACAGGAATGAGACTTCCAAGAGCTGAAAAAACCAAAAGCAAAAAAGGCAAAAATCCATCATATTGTTCAAGAATGTGAGAAGAGCTATGCTAACAAAATAGAGTAAAAATTTCTTGGATGTAACTTTTAAATAGATGTAAGGCTTTTAACTAAGCCTACACCTCAGTATGGTCCAATTTAAAAAGAAAATTGAGAAAAATTGCCATTTTGTGAGACAAGTGATGAATGTGCTTGACTCCAAATTGAAAGGATCAGGAACACTCCCTGCCTGGGTTCCCTGACAAGACAAGTTCATATCCCTACACAGCAGTGGATGCTGATGCCATCTGCCAGATAAAAGACTCCATAAGTTCTGCTGATTTCTGTCAAATTCAGGAAGGATGTGGGTGGCGGAGGGTTAAATTGCAATGCCGCACTCATGGATTTCATGCCATGTAAACTGGGATGAAGCTGAGGTCTATGAAAAAAAATCTAGTCCAAAGAAAACAAATTAAGGGTGACTTACCAAAAGAAACTTGAAAGATAAGGCTGTTTCAAAGCTGTCTTGGAGCTGTATGGTATTGAGCCACCAGCTACAGAGAAAGAAGACCATCAGAGATCACACAATTATACTTACAAATGAAATTTGAACCTCTAAGAGTATGCTGTGAAATGTTTAGAAGAAAAAAAAAATAAAAAAAATAAAAAATATATTTATATATTATATAGAAGTACATAACCCAAACACTGTGGACACTTTTGATGCTTCTGCAAACTGCAGTAATTACTTTAAAATTTACTTATCAAGATACTAGTGATAATAAAAAAATATTAATAATTAAACTACCAATAATAATAATAATGATAATAACAAATCCAGTGTGTACCAATTGAAGTTGCAGGAATTGAACCCAGGCCATCAGTTTACAAGTCCAGCACTCTAACCACTTAGCCACTCTGCCTCAATAGACACACTCAATTTAAGTTATATCTTATTGTAGGCGCAAGAATTTGTATTATCATTTTTTGTTAGTGTTGGTGTTTCATAGTTTCGTGTTAGGTGTTTATTTTCTCGTCTTCCATTAGTGTCCTTTGTCAGTTACCAGTTTTGTACTTGTTATATTTATTTGCATATCGTATATATATTGGTTGCGCGTAATTTATTTGGTTAGTTGTCTAGTTTGTGAAAATTACCGTTACATATCTAGCTCTGGGTTTCATGTTTTCGTCTTTGGGTTGGTCACATTCGTCTTGTAAGTATCCTTGTTTATCTCGCTTTGTCGTTTTCCAGTACTTTCACTCATACGATGTAAGTTATTTTATGCTCATTCGCGTG